GAGCTTGTAGTATGCTACTAAATGTAGAAGTGTGAGTATATATTTCTTAAAGGGAGCAGACTGTTTAGAATTAAAAAACAAGACTGAAAAAGTCTGTAGACTAGCCTGTATGTTTGTTAGTCATGTTTTAGTATATATGTTAAGTGTGTATGTCTATGTGTTGGTGTGATTTATTTTTTTGTATTTATATGCTTTTTTCTGTTGCCATGTGTATATTTTTGGTATTAGTTAGAAAGTAGATTAGTAAAGTGTTTTTATGCATAACTTCACAATGTGTTTGCTCACATTATTACAGTTGTGTTACAAATTTACTTTTCTGTCAATCAAAATTAATAATAAAAGAAAAAAGACAGAAAGCTCATTTCACATAACAGAAAACGTGCCAAACATTTCACACTGGATGGTACTTATTATGAATTAAATCTGAAGTATTGTATTAATGTGTTGTAGAAGGCTTTCATGGCTGGAATCACTGGGTTGCTGTGAGTTTTCCGGACTGTATGGCCATGTTCCAGAAGCATCCTCTCAGGAGAGAATGATTCTGGTACATAACCATGCAGCCTGGGAAAACTCACAGCAACCTATTGCATTAATGTTGCAACAAATCTGTTTTCCTATGATAGTCATGAGTTCTTAATTGTAGAATTATAATTTTTCAGCCAATGATTGTATCAGAAACTTACGACTTCTGATTTTACTAAGTTATGCTTTGAAAGTCACTTCCTCATGAGAGAGTTTGGCAGTCTGTTTCTAGGCTGAATGCAAAGTGTTGTTTTGATCTTCAAAGGGCTAAGTAGCCTAGTTTAGGGATGGCTTCACTGATGTTTTCTTCCCTTGTCCTCAAACACAATCTTCACTGTCAGAGATATCAACAGCAGTAGTAAGATCAAGGCTGTTCCCTTTTGTAGCTTGTCGTCTCTAGGATTCACGATTTTCCCCTTCTGTCCAAATTCTGGCTGATAGTCAAAGGCTCATGTTGAAGATGGCCTTAAAAATAGTGGTCATGTGTTATATCTCATCTTCATTGACTTCTGTTCATTTGAGCTGTTGAGCATTTTAGTTTCTTCAAAAGGTTTTGAACCAGATTTTTTGCTTTAAGATTGTTTCACAAATACAAAAGATCCAACTTTCCCAAACTTTGATCATCCTGGTGGTTTAGATTTCCTGATGTGAAAGGGTTAGAAAACAAATCTGAGTTATCTGTTACACTTTAACACAATCATAGGGTAAAGGTTTCCCCTTGACGCTAAGTCTAGTCAGGTCCGACTCTGGGGTGGTGGTGCTCATCTCCATTTCTAAGCCAAAGAACTGGCGTTGTCCATAGCCATCTCCAAGGTCATGTGGCCGGCATGTCTGCATGGAGCACCGTAACCTTCCCACCAGAGCGGTACATATTGATCTACTCACATTTGCATGTTTTTGAACTGCTAGATTGGCAAAAGCTGGGGCTAACGGCTGGAGATCACCCCGCTCCATGGATCTGAACCGCTAATATTTCGGTCAGCAAGTTCTGCAGCTCAGTGGTTTAACCCGCTGCGCCACCACGGCCCCTACACACTCATAACCACATCTTAATAATAACAAAACTTATATTTGTACAAGAGGCCTTGAGGTCAACGTTTAGCATAACCTAGCCAGCATAACTAATAGCCAGAAATTCTGGGAAGTCCAAATTGCCAGGAAGACCAAAGCTAAGGATCCATTGTGCTAGATTAATCAGCATCAGAATTTTAAAAGCAGGAATATTGAACAACTCACAGATTGTCAAAAAACCTTAATGCTTTGTAAAACATTATCTGGCCCCTTTTTAAACGTATCATCTCAAAAAGAATGGATCGCTTTGCTCCAGCTGGTAGCTTAATTAACAATTAATCACAATGAGAATAGGGAAAGAGGCACATGAAGCTGGATACGCTACTTCTGCTGCATTTTCTTGAAGTGTTGTGGCAGATATTCCCTGATGGGATCATTTAATTGAAAGGAGTGGAATATTACCAGACACCAATCTGAGCACAAAGAACAAGTCACACTATCTCCTTAACAGTGTATAACTAAGCCATGTGGAGACTCAACAGCACTAGCAAATAGGGGACCAAAAGTCGTACTAAACAGCTATGGTTTCTACTGCAGTGTTGGAGCAGAAGTAGAAGTCTTTTTTTCGGTGTTATAAACACCCTGACATTTGAAATCTAAAACAATTTCCCCCAGGTTTAATACTGATATATTTATAAATAGACACAAGTTCAAAATGGACACTTGCAAGGTCATATGAATATATTTGCTTTCGGAATAACATTTGTCTTTTCATTTTAAATTAAATAAGGCATTTACCCTGCTAAGAGGCTGAAGCTGCCGCTATACAATGTAAGAGAGGCTCATATATCAGTGGGAACAATGAATGGCATTGTTAATGTATACAGACAATCGCAGCACTGTCGACGATTTGCAGAAATAAGAAGAGGAATATGAATGCCTGACAGGAGGAAAGACTTATACTTTTGCCTTGGAGACTTGGCATGCGCAGCTAGCCAGTCAGAGTGCAAAGATGGTTGCAGATTTTAATTGGCCCCATCCATGCAGCCTAACACGACTATGCGTAGCACAGCAATTTTCTACAGTAGGACAAGAGAACCCCTGTGAAGGAGAGCAGATGTACTATCGATGCCTATACAGACACTGCAGTTATGAGCCCACAACCATTGAAGGACAGGAGCATATAGGAGTTGAGATAACTCTCAAATTGCAATAATTTCTCAACTTAATTGCCAGATCAGCACACATGACTCATTCCAGTCTGGAGGAAAATTATAAATCAGGAAACAAGATCAGCAGTCACCTTGACAAGGAGTCTGCGGTCAATTCAGAGTTTATATTCCTAACATTTCCTACAAAAGCTGCCTGCTCAAATTCCAAGAATCTTGCATGGCTATACCATGCCCCAAAATTCCTCTTTCCAGTGTCAGCCATGTAGTTCCATGCTGAATGCTATTCTGGCTCGAGAAGACAGGGTCCCTATATTTTCAGAATTAGGTTTTCAGAGAATATAGCCACCTTTAATAAAAGGGTCAGCTCAAAAATGCATGGAATCTGAGTTCACTATTATGCTTTTACACAATCATAACCATATCATAATCGGGTTGCTGAGAGTTTCTAGGGCTGTATGGCCAAGTTCCAGAAGCAGTCTCTCCTGACTTTTCACCCACATCTATGCCAGGCATCCTCAGACATTGTGAGGTCTGCTGGAAACTAGGCAAGTGGGGTTTATATATCTGTGGAATGTCCAGTGTGTTTGAGGCAAGTGTGAATGCTGCAATTGATCACCTTGATTAGCATTGAATAACCTTGCAAACTTCAAGTCTTGGTGCTTCTTGCCTGAGGGAATCTTTTGTTGGGAGGTGATTGGCTGGCCCTGAATGTTTCTTATCTGGATTTCCTCTGTTTTTGAGTGTTCCTCTTTATTTACTGTCTGGATTTTAGAGTTTTTAAATACTGCTAGCCAGATTTTGTTCATTTTCATGGATTCCTCCTTTCTGTTGAAATTGTCCACATGCTTGTGGATTTCAGTGGCTTCTCTGTGTAGTCTGACATGGTGGTTGTGAGAGTGGTCCAGCATTTCTGTATTCTCTAATAATATGCTGTGTCCAGGTTGGTTCATCAGGTGCTCTGCTATGGCCGATTTCTCTGGTTGAAGTAGCCTGCAGTGCCTTTCATGTTCCTTAATTCGTGCTTGGGCAATGCTGTGTTTGGTGGTTACTATATAGACTTGTCCACAGCTGCATGATATACGGTAGACTCCTGCAGAGGTGAGAGGATCCCTCTTGTCCTTTGCTGAATGTAGCATTTGTTGGATTTTCTTAGTGGTCTGTAGTTTGTAGATTGTGTTTCTTCCTTATGTGGTCAGTGTTTCCCTTGATGAAGTTAAAAGGCCATCCAATGCTAATCAAGGTGGCCAATTGTAACATTCACACTTGTCTCAAGCAGACAAGAGTTCTTTCTCCCACCCTGGACATTCCACAGATATACAGTATAAACCTCACTTGCCCAATTTCCAAGAAACCTCACAACCTCTGAGGATGCCTGCCATGGATATGGGTGAAACGTCAGGAGAGAATGCCTCTAGAAAATTGCCATACAGCCCGGAAACCTCACAGCAACCCAGTGATTCTGGTCATGAAAGCCTTCAACAACATAAATCATAATCTTTTCCAAAAAATGTTTGCACAGGAGGCTCGGAGCTTTACAGTTAGCATAACACTTGTTAAAACATTAGTCCACAGCAAGGATAAAGTTGGCTCAGGGGCAAAAAATTCAGAATAAGATGTGTGAAACTCATGATATTCAGGGCTACTGCTGGAAAGAGGACATAATGAATATTCACACAAGTTAATTAAAGGCTGCAGGTAGAATGTGCATAAAATTATTAAATACCGGGTGACATTTACAAAACCACAGGAGTAGTTAAATACCACCTTGTAGGAAGAGTATTATGTCAGGGAGTAAACTTTTAAGCTTCACAAAATGTTCAGGAAATAGATCTGAGATGTTATCTCCAACAGTCAAATGGGACCAAGAAATTTATTACTCGGATTCCAAGAAATAGCCATCTATTACAAACAGCATGGACCCCTAAGTTTAAGAAAGTATTTAAGGCTTTAAAACTTTCTGCTTTTCTGGAACTTTGAACTGTTCTTATTCCAAAAATAAGGAAAGCAAAAAGGTACGATTTGACTTTATAAAAATGTGTATGTTCCATGTTGCTTCATTTACAGGACAGCAGGAAGCCATGAACTTAAATTGTAGCATTCAGACCTGTGAAAATCTAACCACAGCCATAAATAACCCTTACACCCACTTGTGTACCTTTCAATGCCAGCCCAAATTACTGTGTGAAATACCTGTTAGCAGTAGACAGGTAAATTCATATACACATGCAATTTTAATTTTACTAAGTAAAATGAACGTCCCCATGAAAGACAGCAATAAACGAGTGAGGATCAAGGTGCAGTAATATTTTCCAAATTTTTATTTGTTATATTAAATATTATTTCATTGTAGAATGGAATGTTGACTCCGCAAGCTATTTTTCATAGGCAACGTATTAGTCATATGTTATGCACTCTTAGTTTACTTATAAATACAGAGAGTGGTAACTATTTAAAACAAGATTTAAAATATCTTGTTATATCCCAACATCTATTCTGTGTAGCCCATATCATTGCATTCTGGTGGAAGTTGTGTGCTCTCTCTATTTTTGCTGTTAACAACACATTCTTGAGTTAAGAGTCAGAAACAGGAAGTGTCTTCACAGACTGGCTGTGGATCTTTTTCTCCAAATAGGTATTACATAATGAAGACAATTGGAATGATGACCAACTTCCATATTTTTCTTCAACAAAAACCATTTGCTTTCATAGGAAAGGCCAAAGGACTCATTTGATTCATGTGAACTGTTGAGGTGCTGTTCAAACTGTCTCAAGAATGCTTGTCATCTCCTTGAATTGACTGTAGAAGTTCTAAAATAGAAAGCAGATAAGTGCATATAAATATTGGCATTAACACAAGGAGATATAGTACACTCTGTGCTTGGTATGTACATACAAGTTTCACTTTGGCCCACTTTACACTATTTATTTATTTATTTACAGCATTTATACTGCGCCCTTCTCACCCCAAAGGGGACTCAGGACGAATTCCTGAACACATACATGGCAAACATGTAATGGCGTTAAACAGACAGGACAAATAGCACATAGAGCATTTTTTCCCAACTTCGGTGTCATGGAGGTTGTGTCCGATTCCAGCCACTGCGGGAGTGCTGTCGCTCCATCCTCTATGACAAAGAGCCCTTGATTGCATTTTTCTTCCTTCCTTTGATTGCTGGCATTTCTGGTACTTTCTTTTCATGGTGCCATAAAATACCTCCCCAATTAAGCGGTGCCTAATTTCTCTACTCACAGCTGTTTTCGAACTGCTTAGGTGGACAGTGAGCTGGGCTGAAGGTCAGCTGCTCACTATGACTCGGGCTTCGAACTGTCAACCTTTCAATTGGTGTGATCCATTGCTGCTTGTGATTAACTAGCTGTGCTGTGTAAATTGAGATCTATCTGTGTCTGTGGGTCAGGAGAGATTTAGTGACTGGTGTTTTTCCCCTCTCTTTGAGAACTTTAGAAGAGATGGGTGTTAGAGTGGCTCAGACCCAGTTCTTTATCGTTAAGGAATGTAGTTTTTCTTTTTGATGTAAAATAAACCTTTTGTGATTTTTAAGATTGGACTCTGCATCTTTGTCTGCCTAAACTCTAAATTCTTTAAAGCCACATCACACGGCAGGGAGCTTTGAGATGGTTGAACAGAAGCTCTCCGAAGTTCTAGGTGCTCTTACTGCCTATTACAGGGAAAACCAGCTGATCCCTAATCCATCTAAAACACAGACATGTGCTTTTCATTCAAGAACAGACAAGCATCCCAAGCTCTGAGGATCACCTGGGAAGGAATCCCACTGGAGCATTGCAGCACACCCAAATACCTGGGAGTCACTCTGGACCGTGCTCTGACCTACAAGAAGCACTGCCTGAACATCAAGCAAAAAGTGGGTGCTAGAAACAATATCATACGAAAGCTGACTGGCAAAACCTGGGGATCACAACCAGACACAGTGAAGACATCTGCCCTTGCGCTATGCTACTCTGCTGCTGAGTATGCATGCCCAGTGTGGAACACATCTCACCACGCTAAAACAGTGGATGTGGCTCTTAATGAGACATGCCGCATTATCACGGGGTGTCTGCGCCCTACACCACTGGAGAAATTACACTGTCTAGCCGGTATTGCACCACCTGACATCCGCCGGGAAGTAGCAGCCAATAGTGAAAGGACCAAGGCAGTGACATCTCCAGCCCATCCCCTGTTTGGGTATCAGCCAACATGTCAACGACTTAAATCAAGAAATAGTTTTCTCAACGGAAGGAGAATGGTTAGAGAAAGTCCTAGAAATAAAAGAAATGGACATGCTAACCTATGCACTAAAAGACACATATGGACGCTAACTCAAAAGAACAGACTGGAACCCATTAAAGGAATACATGGAGAAAAATGCAATTCCAGGAAAATAAGAGTGGATCATACAACAAGAATCAGAATAAAATTACAAGGGATAAGCCAGAAATCAAAGCTGAACAGAAGAAACGAAACCGTGAACGTGGAGAAGATAGAGTTGGAAGTCAATCCCCCAAGATCCCATCCCCGCTTTCCCCCCTTGTTGCCCCTCCCCTTCCCAGATCCTACCTGCCCCCGAAAACCTAGGTAAACACCTGATAGGGAATTTGTCCCCTTATTTTCCTCACCTTCCCCATCCCCCCCCCCCCCGCCACACTGTTTTTAGCTATTTTGTATAACTATTAAAAACCCCTATTGTTGTATTTTGAAAAATTTTCATAATAATAATAAAAAAGAAAAGAAATAGTTTTCTAAGATCTACAGAGACACTTGCTGGAACACCCCAGCAAGCGAGAGTCCAAAAGTGGCAGGCTCAAACCCAGAACCTCAAACAATGGCTGATACCAAATGAGAGACTCCCCCCTGGGCACACAGAAAACTGGGTGACATGGAAGGCGCTGAACAGACTGCGCTCTGGCACCACGAGGTGCAGAGCCAATCTTAAGAAATGGGGCTACAAAGTGGAATCCACGACATGCGAGTGTGGAGAAGAGCAAACCACAGACCACCTACTGCAATGCAACCTGAGCCCTGCCACATGCACAGTGGAGGACCTCCTTGTGGCAACACCAGAGGCACTCCAAGTGGTCTAAGGACATTTAATCAACTACCAAGCTTGCACATTCTGCGTTTTGTCTGTCTGTTTGTTTGTTTTTGTTAAAAATGTAATACAAATGTCTGGTTGCTGATGACACGATAAATAAATAAATAAATAAATAAATAAAGGCAATTCACACTTCGCTTGCTGTGAACTGAATGCTCAACTATAAGTATTCTGTTTGCATTTTGGATGCTCTGCTGTTTTGGGGAGTTTTCCCTAACAAAATCCTAACGAACAACAAAGCCTTCATTTTCATCTGCGCCGTATTTATTTAATATGTGTTAAGGGAAGAACCCCACTTTCTGTACCTTTAACTAGAAGGCAATACATAAATATTCAAATACTTTTTCTAAGCACAAACTGCTCAGTCACAAAGAATTCTGAGTATCTCATTCTTTGACCTCAGGGAGTGTCTGAGAAGATGAAGGGCAGTAAACTAAATCATTTGTACACTTACAAAGATCTATAAAAATAGTGCATGTTTAACTATTAGCAAAATAACAGGTGTAAGGCAGGAGGGGCGTGGATTTACACATACTCTTAAAGACAGATCTAATATATATTCTTCTCAAAAAGGCTGTAATTCTCTGTAATTTTTTCCGGTTTGTGATCCCACCAGTTCTTTGTCGCAGGCAGATGGTATTTGTGGCACAAGTTCCAATGAATCATCTGAGCAACGGTGTTGTGCCTCTGCTTGTAGTCTGTTGTTGTTGTTGTTGTTGTTGTTATTTGGTATCAGGAGTGATTTAAGAAACTGCAAGCCACTTCTGGTGTGAGAGAATTTGCCATCTGCAAGGATGTTGCCCAGGGGACGCCCAGATGATTTACCATCCTGTGAGAGGCTTCTCTTGTATCCTCAAATGAGAAGCTGGAGCTGACAGATGAGAGATTCCCCCGCTCCACAGATTCAAACTGCCAACCTTTTGGTCAGCAGTCCTGCTGGCACAAGGGTTTAAACCCACTGCACCACTGGAGGCTCCTACCTTAAAAATGACCAAAACAACTGGTTATGCCCCAGTACATGAGTTCAAATCATTAACCGGATTTGTTTCAAACCACTCAGGGCTCCTAATTTAATCAATGTAAATGTTATTTTCTTCCCATAGCATTTGTTGCACTGATTGGTGATCATGATTACATAAAGGCTGAAATCCAAAACTTAGTTCCAACTGAAGTAGACCTATTGAACCAGCAGGATTTACATAAGTGTTACCATTTAACAATTCAATGAATCTACTCCAGTTGTTAACAGCAATTGGATTTAGACTGGAGAATCAATTAAACGCATCCTGTGACATGTTATGCAGTTCATTTGTAACAGTGTCAGAATGAATGCCAGTCTTTGAAAGAAACAAGAAATATGAAAGATGACTACTAACCTGAAACTGTGAGACTGTCATTTCAAATGTTTTGCTTGTGATGTGTCCTGAAGCGTCTGCCACCTTCATTGCGATGGTAACATATGGGGATTTCAGAGATTTACAGTTGTCAGAACTGACTGCCATCCCTAGTTTCCACTGAAAATCAATAAGCTGCAAACAAAAACAGACATTTCAGAAGTTTGCTTTGGCAACTATAATCATTTAGAATTGCTAAAATACACGGCGACATGTTGCAATTCAACACCCAACTGTTGCTTGGCATTTCAGGAGTAAGACGTGCTTGTGAGCTTCTCTCCCCTTATATACCAATCAGTTTCCTTTCTTCATTTCCCGGATCACAGCAATCCAAGATTTGCCAATTCAGATATTTTGTGAGCCATACCAGTGTCATTTGGGAGGAAAAACCCAGATTTTTACAAGATTTTAGAAAAATAATAACTCCCAGAGAAAATTGAATAGAGAAACCCCAATCCTTGTAAACACAGTTCATTACCTAACTTTTAACTGAACATCTGGTGAGTTTGGCTATTATTCAAAGACATTTTCGTCACATCAGTATCTATCCTATAGAAGAGGAACAAGATGATGACAATGATGACAAATTTCTGAGAAACCCCAAGGTCTCCTTGGGTACAGCTTCAAAGTCACTGTACATTGTTCAACATGGAAAATCCCCATTCTTCACACAATTCAGATTTTTTTTCATATTACTCAAAATCTATTTCTAAAATATGTTCATAAAAATTAAGAAGTCTGATAAATTAAGTGTCTTCTGCTCACTGAACTATTTCCTTTGTGCTCTCATCCCAGTGGTTGCAATATATTTTGTAAACTACAGTATCATTTACTTCCCATTTCTCTTTATAAAGCTCTTACACATCTGCAAATATATATTTGTGTGCCAGGAGACACAGCCATTTAAATTAGTTGAGTTAGTAATTCTGTTGGCATAATGATTAAACAAATCTTGAAATATATGCCTTAGGTTTTAGGTCTCAAACTGAGTCCATGAACCTAGCTAGTCTATCCCCAGGCAAACATATTGTTACCTTTTCTGAGGCAAGGAGCAATTAGAATCTGACTACACATTTCCTGCAAGTGTGTAGCAAAATGATTACAAGCATAAACTAGTTTCATTGAGTTGCAGAATTCAATAGCAGAGCAATCCAATACAGTAAAACTCCACTCTCCATCCTAATGTATTTAAACATATCAGATTCTCTGTCCTGAAGTGTGTGAGTGTGTGGACAAACACACACACATGCAGAGTTAGGACTGATTTTTAATATATGTGGATTTCTTTAGAGCAGTGGTTCCCAACCCATGGGCCGCCACCCACAGGTGACCCTTGAGATCTAAAATAAGATCCATAAATAGTGCTTATGAGGGATCGAGAGAGGGAAGGAGAGGGAGAGGAGGAAGGAAGGAAGGCTGCTGTGCTCGCCAGCACTTTCTTGGCCTTGGGAAGTTTCCTATGGCAAGGCTGAGAAGACTTACCTGGTGGCATGTACGAGGGAGCAAGAGAAAGAAAGACAGCCCCCAAAGATGTTGTTATTGTTATTGTTATTATTATTAGCTCCCATTGCCAAACACAAGAGTTGTAATGGGAAAGCAGCCCTTTGTAAGATCGTGTTTAGTCCCCCCCCCCCCAAAGTAGTAGTAGTAGTAGTAGTAATAGTAGTAGTAGTAATAGCCATTGGGGACAGTTTCTTGGGTCTCGCACTTCGCTTCTTGTATTTTTTCAACTCCAGCCTCCTCCCCTTCTTTATTTTTTAAACACGAGCATTAACAAAATCAAAGGATAACACAGCCCAACCAAGAAAAATATAAAATTCTTGGTGTCTTTATTTTTAGGCTTGTTCCTAGGATTATTTGGGATGCTGATTCAGAAAATTGCATTGCATAGACCACATCAGCTCAAGATTATTAAATATGGTTTTCTGTGAGCAAGGAAATGGTGACTACTGGATGGCATATGTTCTGTATCAGAAACTAGAGCTGATGTGGTCTGTCCAATGCAATTTTCTGAATCAGCACCCCAAATAACCAAACCAAATCTAAAGTTGGCCAAAAACTGATTTGTAACGCTTTTGGTACTAATGTTAGAATGGTCCCTGATCAAAGTGGTCCCTGGTCGAAATGGTTTTTGGTCTAAAAAAGGTTGGGAACACTACTTTAGAGGATCTTTAAAGTACAGTGTCAGGTAATAGTCCATCTGGATAATTGTGAATTTCAACAATATTTAACATACAAGTTTAAATATACTGATCAACAGGCTGTTTATGAAAATAGTTTTGTTCTAACGAGAAGTAGTTGGCCAGTGCTTCTTAAATTTTGATCTTATAGTTACATTCAAATTCCAGAAGACTTTAAAGTATAATCCAAGAGCGGTATTTTTTTCCCCTTTAGTACATGCAGGCAATTACTTACTGTTCAAAATGTTCAATACATCTAGATATTTTACTCTAAAAAAGGTATTTTAAGAGTAGCCTTTTATCTAAAAGAACTGTTTACCTGTCCAACAGCTACCATATGTTTTGCATCTTCCGCTGCTGTAAGGGAGCTTCCCTGTTCACTCCAAACATGCCGAATAACCTGTATAGCTTGTTTTGGCAGGCCACCAGCTGCACCGCTTAGTTTGGTGGACAATTCTTCAGATGAGAGTTCATTTTTTGCTGCTGTGCTATATAACAAAATGAGAGCGGGGAGAGAGGAGGGCTCTGAACAGCTTGATTTTACATAAAAAACATCGGCCTTTTAAAGTTTTCTTTTGTCAAGAGAGATGAAAGCTTAATTTAGCACTTGTTTAAAGTCCATTACTCTAAAAACCTTTCCATCATAAAAAACACCTTTTTTATCTTGATACTAAAAAAAATCTCTATGCCTTTTAAAATAATCTTGTAGCCTAATGCAGAATGTTAGAGCAGCCTTCATTGTTCAGCCTGAACAAACAGATGCATTAAATCCTGCATTAAACACTTGCATGCAAATACGAGTTGCAAGTAAAGATCAATTACAGAGATCAGGTGTCTTTCACAAAAGCTTTTCTGTTATTATAGATCTTCTTCTTGAAATAACTCAGTTTTGAAACTGCCTCTGTTTATCAGCTGTCTAGGGACCTAACCCATGACACTCTAGTCACCAAACGATTGGGAAAGCATATGCATTTCAAATGTCTATGTGCCTGTTTATGTACGCACACGTTTTTCAGATAGCTTTCATTTAGATTAGATTTGGTAACAAGCAGCACCTAGCTGCTCTGAAAGGTATCCTTTTTACTGTGAAACATTTAGCACTTGTTTAAAGTCTTGTAAGACCTTAGTTGCAGTAGTAAAAACAAAATAGCATGTGGGAAGCAAGGCCGCATATATTTAAATTAGCCTGGATCAACACTGACAATATAATGCAGTTTGAGCTGCATTATACAGACAGGGTAGACCCAGATAATGCAATTTGCAACAAACAAAATTATAGGAGACCACACTGACAATATGATGCAGATCAAACTGCATTATATGGCAACATAGATGCAGCCAGACTTCCATTCTTCTGTATTTTATTAACACAGCACAAAAGAGGAGACATTAGAAAAACATTTGTGTCAGGAGCGACTCGAGAAACTACAAGTCGCTTCTGGTGTGAGAGAATTGGCTGTCTGCAGGGGCGTTGCACAAGGGACCCCCTGATGTTTTAGCTTCCTGTGGGAGGCTTCTCTCATGTCCCTGCACAGGGAACTGGAACTGACAGTCAGGAGTTCACCCTGCTCCCTGGATTTGAACCGCCGACCTACTGGTCAGCAGTCCTGCTGGCACAAGGATTTAACCCATTGCACCACCGGGGGCTCCTACCTTAGAAATTACTAAAGCAACTGGTTGTACCTCAGTAAATGAGTTCAAATCATTAAACTGATTGCTCCAAACCAGGCTAAAATTTCCCTTCAAAATGTCTTTACTGGGGAAGCCGAAACCAGAATCATAAAATATTTTTAATTTACAGAAGCATGGGTAACAATACAATTTTAGAAAAATGGTGAGAGAATGAAGGTAAAGTTCTTAAATTTATTAGTGCAAAAGGCTTCCTTCTATGCCATTTTGTTACACAGAGAATAAAGTGTTAGGGGCACACTTCTTCAACCATTAAACTGGTAGGAGGGGTGGCTTTTGCTTACCTGAATACGAAGGAAATAGCATTCACGACCTTTGCCAGGTCACTAGCAGCTATTTTAATCCCAGCTGCTTGAAATCTCTAGGAAAGAAACACAATTCATTGGGTTGCAACATAAGACAAATTAGAAAAGTGGTTGCTATCTGCCAAAAAATGCCCGAAATCCAACTGAAAGTCCCAACTGGAGTAGATAATTTTAATAAATTATTGAATTTTATGTAACTATTCAGCAACAATTTGTTGGGTGTACTAGCAACTTAACTTAGAGCAAAACTGTTTTAATTTTGCTGTTAGCAATTCACCTTACCTGACATAGCTCAATTGTATTTACAGCTGGGATCTGACATTGCAGGTATCTGATAATTTGTTCACACTAAAAAAAAAGAAGAAGAAACAATTTCCACTGGTTAAAAAACTGTAAGTGTAACTAGAACAAATGCTTATCCTGGAAAGCCACCGTAATCCTGTGCTTACATTTGATCAGTGAAAAGATGGCAAATGATTTCCCACTTTGTACATACCTAATTCTGGAGGTCATATTTAAAAGTTGGCTTCTGAGACAGAAAACCCACACAGTGTTAGCACTGTGCGAAAATTAAAAGCTGACAATGTGCTAATTGTCGGCTTCATAGCAGGAAAGAAACATGCCTGCATATCTAGTACACTAATAATCAAGTTGATTGATTAATTAATTAATACAATTGTTGCAGCACTTAAAGCAATTAGTCTTTTAAGGAGCCGTGGTGGCACAATGGGTGCCAGCTGAACTGATCTGAAAGTCGGCGTTTCAAATCTGCTAGACAGAGTAAGCTCCTGTCTGTCAGCTCTAGCTTCCCATGCAGGGACATGAGAGAAGCCTCCCACAGGATGGGAACACATCCGGGCATCCCCTAAGCAACGTCTCTGCAGACGGCCAATTCTCTCATACCAGAAATGACTTGCAGTTTCTCAAGTCACTTCTGACACTACTAAAAAAAAGTTGAGAATTAAAGGCCTTTTTTGGCAACTTTATCTCTTTTAGAATTACAATTAATTTAGAAATAATAAAGGTGTCCTATCTTCTGTTATAAGCTCTGTTTTTCATATGTAACTCACAAAATGACCTCATAATGACATTTTATGAAAGTTTAATCTGGTTTATCTAAAGGGTAAACAGTCAACCTAAATTATGCCAATCAGTTAACAATTGTAAATGTATATTTTAACTACCATATGAAGGATTCTGACAATCAAACAATCTAACACCTATTTTAAAAAAACCTTTGGCTTCCAATAAAATATTTTACAAGCCATGCAAGTGTTTGGTTTTTTTAAATAAAAGGCAAAAATTCAAATAGCAATTCCAATGATTTTCAGGAGATTTTCCTTTCAGAAACTACCAATTCATCCATTCCAGTTTATCAATTCATGAAATTACCCATTCATGCCATTGTATTATAACACCATCCACTTACATGATGAAAAAATAACAAATGAACAATACCATCCACATGTAGGTTCGATCCAAAAAAGGGGCAAAGCAAAAAACAGAAAAAGGAGCTATAGAAGCATGGTAAATTGGAGGAGAAAATGTGTAATTCTATCATCTGTTATACTGGTTGAAGTTACAGTGAGATACAGGATATTGTAATGGCTTGTAATGAGGACAAGCAGGTTGGAGAGGCAAGAGATGATACACGGATTGTTCTTTGGATGAGAAAACAGCACTTACTGGGAGATAGGAGAAAGGAAATTGCAGGGAGAGGGAGAAACAGTGAAAAGAAATGAGATTTTGAGATTGATGCTGGGTATCACCTGTACCTTGAATCCATACCAGATTGACAGCCGATGCTATTCCTTGTATAATATGCTACAGTCAGCAATCTAGTTGCTGCATTTTCAACTAACTGCAGTTCCAAGTTGAGTTCCAAAATAGTTCAGTATTGAACACATTGCAGTGGTCTAACCAGGACCTGTTGTGACTATATTATCCATTTTTTCAGAAAGACTTTAGCAAATAAAGAAGCTGAACCTAGACTTTGTGCCTCCAAGCCAGAGTCCATCTGCTTTCCTATATGAGAGGCAGATTTAAGAGTACTTCCAAATTATGTACTGTATTTAGGAGAGCTCACCCCCATCCAGGACAAATAACTTGCCAATTCGGACATATGGGAGTCACCTGCCCGAACCCCTATCATACTGAATTCAGGTTCACTTTACTAAAGCTGGATCTACATTACCAAATAATGCAGTTTTGGAATGCAGTTTAACTGCATTGAACTGGATTATACGATATTATGGCATATATTCCAGTTCAATGCAGTTAAACTTCAATGACAAGTAGAGAAGACAAGACCAAGCCTCCAAACCACTAATCACCTCACCTAGCAGTATAGGTAGTAATTTTTGGTCACATAACCTTTAGGAAAATGGCACTCCTAACCATTTGGGAAAACCAGGAATCTCCTGAGAAGGGTTAAAACTTGCTTGAGTCAACTTTCTCCTTAGTGGTAAATTCATGCAGGGCAATTAGGTTTCTCAGTTCTAAGACTGATATACCTAGATAAATATACGGTATTTTGAATGTTAATTTCAAAGATGGTATGTTTCTATGTATTATACAATAAAAAATACAAAAAAAGATATATCTTTGATATATCTATTTCCAACAGTAAGCAGGGAAGCTATATATGTATATCGAGGGCGAGGCAGAAGCAAGGAGAGATTTAAAAGTACCACACACCTTTTTTTGCTAGCTATCTCTGCTTTGCAATCTCTCTTGATTGACTGCCTCTCTCCCGAGAGGGAGGGTGAAACCCCCTTCCACAGTCCATCGTTGCCAGGAGATGGGATTAGAACGCTGCTCTGGGCAATGGCAACCATTTATAAACTGGGAAGCAAAAACTCGCGAAACAGCGAGTCCATGGAAAGCGAACTGCAAAGTAGCGAAGGAACACTGTACACCCTTCAAGACCTTGGGTTACAACTCCAACTACACCTTCCCATTGGTGGCTGGTGGAACTGGGAGAGTTAGAACAGAACAACTGGAAGGCTTTAGGTTGAGAAAGGTTGCTTTCAAAATAATACTGTATTATAATGTGATCCCTTATTTTTCTTTTGCGGGACTAATTTCTAGGAAACAAATGACCAAATAATATAAGATAGATAACACAGTGACATTTTACATATTTTATAATGCAGTGGGATTTAAAATGAAATAGCGACAGATGTTACTTACTAGTTCTGCAAACAGATCCTGTGGTATTGTCTTAATTGTATCAGTTGTGTTACCAAAATCTATAACACAGAGACATTCGGCAGTTAGGAATAAACATTTTCACACATTGGGTTGCTTTGAGTTTTCCGTGATGTATGACCATGTTCCAGAAGCATTCTCTCCTGTCATTTCACCCACATCTATGGCAGGCATCTTCAGAGGTTGTGAGGTCTGTTTGTTGGAAACTAGGCAAGTGAGTTTTATATATCTGTGGAATGTCCAGGGTGGGAGAAAGAACTCTTGCCTGCTTGAGGCAAGTGTGAATGTTGCAATTGTCCACCTTGATTAGCATTGAATGGTTTTGTAGCTTCAAAGCCTGGCTGGTTGCTGCCTGGGAGATCACTCTCAAACAACACTAAAATAAATAGGGGAATTCCAGACAAGAATCAATCAGGGCCAGATAACACCTCCCAGCAAAGGATCCCCCAGATTCGAAGCTTTAAAAAAATGGTTGGAGTTACACTTTAAAAATGGACCTGTTTTGACTCACATATAAACTCATCTTAAAAGCAAACCTACAGAACCTATCTTGTTCGTAACTTTGGGACTGCTTGTATTTGTAACAGTGGAAGGAGCCTTTTCATGTCGTCTTCCACTATTTTTCTAACAGCAGCAACAGCAAACAGACAGGAAAAGGCTAGTTGCACATTGTGGCTGACTGTTGTCACCATACTCTAGCATGGATTATTTGAACATTTTGTGGCTTTTCACATCATTCCTTTTTGTCATATTGCCTACTGAATACAGTTGCCTTTACAGGCTTGGAATTCCAGCCAAATTCTAGGATTACCTAGGAACACAGTCCCCATCTACACTGACCATTTAATGCAGTTTCAAATTGATATTGAAGAAAGTGGTTTTGCTGCACAGTGGTTTTGGGGCATGGATGATGATTACGCAAACCACGGAGCACTTTAAGAGCTTTCTTTCAGGCTCTTTTGCAGGAGTTTATTGTCTGGCAATCTCAGTTTGAGCTGCAGTATCTTTGAACTCCACCAAATGGTTAGTCTACTTCCTAATGGAGGCTTGTAGTTTATTGACATTTCTGACTTTGGATTGGCCGGATTCTGTCATCTGAGCTACAACCATCTGTTGTAAATGGACTGAAAGTATTGGCAAGTTAAGACAAATATATATATAGGGATGGTGGTGACATAGCACGTAAAACTGCTAAGCTGCAGAACTTGCTGATCTGAAGATTAGCAGTGAGCTCTCGTTGCTAGCCCCAGCTTCTACCAACCTAGCAGGTCGAAAACATGCAAATGTGAGTAGATCAATAGGTACCGCTTCTGCGGGAAGGTAACAGCGCTCCATGCAGTCATGGTGGCCACATGACCTTAAGAGGTGTCTCTGGACAATGCTGACTCTTTGGCTTAGAAATGGAGATGAGCACCACCCCCAGAGTCAGGCATGAGTAGAGTTAATGTCAAGGGAAAACCTTTACCTTGATTTTAAGACAAATCTAAACTTGAAGGGATTTATTTCTACAAAATTGTTTTCATGCCATTATCATGCAATTTTTGGGTGAAATAAATGTCAGTTATGTATTGAGTTTAAACTGCAAAATCACTCACCTGAGAAAACTAAGGAGACCCAACAACATGCACTTTCCCCTGTGCTAAACTAAAAGCCTACCCCACTGTTCATTCTTTTTGGGCTCCCCTCAATTCCTTTTTTTTCTACCACACCCAGGGTTTTATCATTTTATCTCGTCCATTTGGCTTGCCCATTCTGTTCAATTTTATATTGTTTTTCATTTGTTTTATTTATTTTATTCTGCTACTGTATGTATTTTATTCTGATGCTGTCTGCATTCTGTATTTTATTTTGCTGTATTGTATCTTTGGGCTTGGTCTCATGTCAGCTGCTCCGAGTTCCCTTTGGGGAGATGGTGGCAGGGTATAAATAAATATTATCTATTTATTTATTTATTTACTACATTTGTATACTGCCCTTCTCAGCCCAGAGATGACTCGAAGCAGTTAACAATAGGCAACAATTCGATGCCAAAACAGTTACAATTAAACAATCATAAAATACTATTAAAACACTATTATTATTATTATTATTATTATTATTATTAAAACTATTAAACTTGAAGGCACTTGCATAGATAAGACACATTAAATTTAATATAAACCGCTGCAGACTAACAGGAATGGGATCAGTTTGTAAACATTGTCAACACTGATTGTAGAGGTATGGATGTCACATCACAGTTATTTCCAAATTAAGGAAGTGATGCCGTGAGTGACTTGCTTAGAAAGAAACTCCTCTGAAATCCAGCAAACACAATCAAATGTTGGGCTGTAGATGGTCAGTAGCCACAAATTAACAACACGCAATAAATTGAAGAACTGACACACAGCCATATAACCCATAATATCAAGGCAGAAAAATACTTTGAACTGGGTTATCTGAGTCTACACTGCTATATATTCCAGTTCAAAGCACATAATGTGGAATTTTTTTTCAGCTGTGTGGAAGAGGCCCTAGAAAGCAGGAAGAAAGGTCATGAAGATCTTTTTCCAGCAGTTTAGGAAATAATAGCTACTAAGATGCCCTCTGCTCACAGTAGTTACCACACTTTAAGGCTTCCAAGGATTTTGGACTCCAACTCCCAGAAGCCCCTTCCAGCTTGGCCTACTGTCAGGAATTCTGGGAGTTGAAGTCCAAAACCCCTGGAGGGCGCTGAATCAGCATTAGCTCCCTTGATTACTCTGTACCTCACTCTTGGGCAATTGTGCAAAGAGCACAGCCTAATCCCTTCCTTTCCCTCTCAGCTCTGCTTCTGCATTATTTCTGTAGCGCTTTCATCCCAAGTGCGGCTCCTCTGCTCTTAAACCCATTGGCTCATTGGGAAACTCACCCCAGGGCTCGGCCAGCGTCCCTCCCGTCCCGGCAGCCATTGAGGTGAAGGACGCGCCCCCAACTCACCACCCTCTGCCCTAATTGGTGAGCCCGAGACCACGCCTACTCGCGCAGAGCAATCGTATCCTTCCGAACAATTCCCCCCATCCAATCAGGAGCTACATTCTCTTTCCTTCCGTGATTTCTGATTTGGCGATGTCAGAGGGCTCATCCCGCCCTTCCGTGTCGCTAGTGTTGAGTCCCGATTGGCTGCTTTGGCCCAAGGGGAGAAAATACCAGCTGCACGCCTCTTTGAATAATTCTAGGGAAAGGCAGTCCTGATATAGCTCAATGATACGGCATGCTGGGATTTGTTATTTGGTGAGGCATTCTTTGGCAGCAAAGGCTGAAGGCATAGGAGAGCTATGACTCCCTAGCATTGAGCCAAGTGGTGTCAAACTGAATTCTTTCCGCAGTGTAGATGCCCCCCAGTGGTGACTTTTGTGTTTCTTTGTGGATTTATCCACACTTATATGGATATACCATGTTAGATGCTTTCCAAATTGAGAGTTACTTTGATAATTGTCCCAAGTTCTCGCTGAAATTCTAACACAGGCTCTTGATAGAAGCAGAAGTGGGAAACTCGTCAGGAAATCTTGATAGACCCCAAACTTGACAGCTTGCATTTGGATATCACCCAATTTGCACTGCCCATTTCCATTCAAAATTCAAAACTGAGGTCTGCCAATAAGAAACCAGTCAGTAAATTTAGAACTCCCCAACCCAGAAAAAAGTCAGCAAAACAAGTTTTGGTCTAATAGTAGGGCCTCACTTGTCTACCATCAATGGGCCGGCAGAACGTTGGATAAGGGGAAATGTTGGATAATAAGGAGGGATTAAGGAAAAACCCAATAAATGTCAAATTACATTATGATTTCACAAATTTAGTACCAATACATCATGTTTTGCAACAAACTGACTGAAAAAGCAGTTCAATACACAGTAATGTGGTGTAGTAATTACTGTAGTTATGAATTTAGCACCAAAACAGACAAGGGTTCTTTTTTTCTCCCACCCTGGACTTTATTCCAGGCAGGAGGCAGACTGCATTGGATAATATAGAATGTTGGATGAGTGAAGGTTGCATAAGCAAGACTACTGTACATTGTGGGAAATGTTCCACAAGGCAGAAAACTTGAACTATAACTAAGGATAGCACAATACTAGCTAAAGGCATCAGGTTCTATGTGATGAAAATTTCCTTCGGGAGGGGCCAATGCTCATCCAGGAATTGTAGGAATTGCCTCTTCGCAGGCTCACCTTCAGGAAGATGCCTCACAAAAGAGACTCTCCATATCCCACCACAGATCTTGCCAGCGCTGGTGCCAGGCATTGAATGCCATACTTCATTCATCAGCTCCCATTGTCATAAGGCACAGTACCCAACCAATTAACACAAGGATTAAGCCACAGAAATATATGTAAGCCAGTTGGATGAGCCAGGTTGCAGCTGGAGAGTTATCTTCAGGCAAGCATACTCTCCTTCTAAGTCACTTCTCCATGCTGATAAATCTGTGGATAATGAAACAAGGCAACCTGTATTTATAGAAAGCACATACACATTCTCTCACGTGGGAACCTCCCCCCTGTTTTGGAAAAATTGGGAAATATAGGTAAATCCTTCTCTTAGTTTGAAAATACCTTTTTCTATGACTAATGGCCCATGTCCTACTAGACTCAGAGAAATTGATAGCCTGCTGTAACACATGTCAAAATTAATTCTTCCTCTTGATATTTTGTCTGTTGGCAGGAATGGACTGGATGAGGGTAAAGAAAGTGAGGGGTCATCCAGACAACACAGAAGTGCTCCTGATCAGTCACAAGGCAGGTCAGGGAACAGGGACCAAACCTGTGCAGGATAGGACTCAACCAGGTGATATCACACAAAGAAGGGCTTCTCCGGCTCTTTCAAATAAGTTTCTGATCTGAAACAGAAGACTCAAATACAGCTGGTGTTATTTAAAACAGAAGACTAGAAGATAGTTCAGGTCCTTGGAGATGCAAGACCTGAACCTGGCTTGCGATCTGTCCAAGATACAACTGAACAACAGACAAGCAGCAGCAATGATCTATGAATGGGACACCATGGAAACCACTCTTCCAAGTTCCGAAACTGTTTAAAATCTTGTCAATAACTCAAAACATAATATAGAAAGATCAAAGACAGATTCCACCCTAGACATTGGGGCCTTTGAAAGAGTAGGGAGCTTCTGGTTCCCCAGATACTTAGGAATAGTATTTGCTTACCATTGGACATCAACACTAACAGTGGAGCAATGTATTTTTTTTAAATAGGGAGCAACTCAGCAGTCCCGTGTGGCGACTAGTTCAATATACATTAAAATCCGTAATCACATAACAATACCTGATGGCTTCTTTTTGAAATTGGGTACCATCCTTCCACTCTCAACTGAAAATAACAGATATTGTTGTGTCAGCTGTAAATGTACTTTCAGGCATTATCCCAAGGCACCACAAGGAGGAGATATTAATGACTCCAAGCTTTTGAATAACACACTGGGTGTTCAGCTTGCAAACTGTCCTGAAAGGATGAAGATGGCAAGTAGAAGTCGCCTGCACCTTTTTGTCTTGGAGGCATGGGTCACGGACATTATACAGTTGCTGATATGTGGAGTGTGGGAAAATTAACAAATCACCCCCAAAGCTGAAATGTGGGGGAAGTTTCTCTATGAGGTCAGCTGAAAGGTGAAAACCCTTGTGGCCCATCTTGGCATAAATCATATATTTGATACAGTATATACATTTGATATATATAGGAATAGGACAGAGTCGAAAGGTAACAAAATAAGCAGAAAGTTATAGAGAAAGATACATTCATTGAGGGATTCGAAACAATAGTTTTTGTGTGGGAGTCACTGCTGTCTTTCTGTTTCTCATCTTCACTGATACATATCAAGACATATCTACGGGCTTTTAATAAAACACACACACACACAAAGAAACCAGACTTCATGGGAGAGTTGTGGTTGTTTGTCTGTCTGCCAATATTCTTCTCTTCAGAAATTGTGGAAGTTCAGAGAGAAGGGGGGGGGGGGAGAATAAAATCATATTTTATTTCGGTGCCTTTAGGAATATTACCAATCATCCAGGCGTGGGTAGGGGTGTGCTGTGTTCGACAACACATCAATACTGTAGATTCAACACAATTTGAGACCCCTTGAACTGCCATGGGTCAATGCCATGGAATCCTGGGAGTTGTACTTTTATTAGGTCTTTAGTCTTTTCTGTTAAAGAGCACTAATGTGTCGCCAAACTACAATTCCCAGGATTCCATGGCATTCCAACATAGCAACTGAAGGTAGTGTCAAACTGCATTCATTCTACAGTGTAAATGCAACCTTAGACTATTGTTTGCTGGGTATCACTTTGTACAAAGCATTATCATTTCTCCTTCCTTGAACTACAATTATAATGCAACTGAATCAATTAACTGTTGCTAGAAAATAATAACTCAAACTAAGTAGTTATTGGTAACCATTGATAGAAAACTCTGACAGACTTCTGCTACATATATAACTGCACCCAAATTAATTGAGCAACTGTTCACTTATTGCACAGTAAGGCCTCTTCGACACTACCATATAAAATTCAGATGATCTGCTTTGAACTCTGTTATATGGCAGTGTGGACTCATATCATCTAGTTCAAAGCAGACAATGTGGATTATCTGCTCTGATAATCAGGATTATATGGCAATGTGGAAGGGGCCAAGAAATGAAAACTCAGTGGATGATCTTGACCACTTCACACACTCTCAGCCTCAGAGGAAGGCAATGGCAAACCTCTCCATAAGAAAGCCGGTAATAAATTATTCCAGAACATTGACATTTGTTTCCTGTCTTCCCAAGAGATTTGCAGGATTTTTCAAAGGCAACAATTATGGAATTTTCCAGAGGTCAAGAGTGAATTTTAAAAATGTTATTTTATGGTTTACACTTCTTGAACTATATTCAGAACAATGAATTAATACTAGATCTTTGTCACTGATGCCTGTAACACATCTGCTGATTTTATATCTTTCATTTAAATTCTGTTCCTAGGATCCAAAAGATTCCATGCCTTTGGGCCCTTTCTGCTCTGCCATATAATCCAGATTATCAATGTAGATAATCCACATTATCTGCTTTGAACTGGGGCTCCTTCTATACTGTTCTTCTATCCCAGGATCTGATCCCAGGTTATCAGCTTTGAATTGGATTATATGAGGGCCCTTTTACACAACACCTAAAATGAGAAGTTAACAGGTTAAAAGGGAGGGGTGGCTACATGATACTGGTGGTAAATTTGTGCTGATTTGCTGCAACGGACAAAAAGCACAAGTTAAAAAGGTCCCCTTTTATCTTGATTCTGGCCAGAAAATGTGGATATTTGCATCACTGTATATCCCTGATTTCCTTCCTACCCCCATGGAGACTTCTTCAGTGGACATCCACATTAAAAATGCCTGAACAGCTGATTAGCTGATTAGGATGTGAAACAGACACATAGCTGGTTTGAAGGAAGTACGAAGTGAGAGAAATTAGAACTCCCTGAAACTTTCTATTTAAAACTTTATAATATTAAACAGAGCTTGAATAAACAATTGGGGGGAAAGAAAGTTCAAGTTCACTTTATTACGGTCAATGACCAGCTCATGAAGAGGGGGAAGTGAGAAATCTGGCGGAAGTGTTATTTAAAAAATTCACTTTGTTATGTGCTGAACTTCATATGTGCACATGCAAATCTGCTTGTATTTATATTAAAATATTCACATGTGCACATATACAGACCACTGCATAACAGAGGGATTAAAATAACAACTTCCAGCAGATATCCCTTGTCCGCCCTCCAACTTGTTCTGATACAGAGGAAACCAGTGACTGACAGGTCTGTGTGGGGACCTGAAATCAGGTCCCAGGATTTTTTACTCCACCTTTACAAACTAGATTTTGGCACTGTCTGGAAGCACCCCAAGTCTTCACTACCAGATAATCTGGGATAAACAGATAATCTGAGATCAGATCCTGGGATATAGGGCAGCGTAGAAGGGGCCCAAATTATACGAGTCTACAATGTAATATAATCCAGTTCTAATTAGATAATCTGGATTTTATATGGCAGTGTAGGGCCCCTTCTACACTGCCATATAATCCACATTATCAAGTCAAATATTCCAGATTATCTGCTTTGAACTGGATTATATGAGACTACACTGCCATATAATCCAGTTCAAAGCAGATAATGTGGATTTTATTTGGCAGTGTAGAAGGGGCCTTCCGAGTCTACTGTAATACAATGTAATACAATACCTCTTGGAGATACATCCTGCTCAGATAGTATAGCAAACACTGACGTTTCTGGTTTCTTATACACTGCAATATAATCCAGATTAGCAAAGCAGATAATCTACATTAGCTGCTTTGAACTGAGTTATGAGTCTACATTGTCATATAATCCAATTCAAAGCAGATAATTTGGATTTTATACAGCCGTGGAGAAAGGCCCTCTGTGGCATTTAGCAAAGCTGTGTACATTGTTGACACAAAAATCTTAACACAATACAAAGAATACATTCCATAGGTTACCTGACATCTGATATCTGACATATACACACTCACTGTGTTAAGGCCGCCAAATATGAAAGGCGGAGACATTCCCACACATCTGGTTACAGTCATTGGAAAGCCATAATTGGTTTTGATTCCTTGATGTGTCACTTCACTCCATGCTTGAAGTATGCCTCTTTCCTGCACATTTCACCTGCTGTTACAAACACCACTGTCACCTGCCGTGACTCAGCCCTGATGTAGAGCATGTCACCTGGGGAAGCTGATAAAGTATCAAAAAGATTGCTGGCATGTATTAATTAAAATGGATCCATTAAAAATGAATCGTCGGGAGGAAGTCCTGCTGTCAACAGCTATTACACAGGACGATCAGGTAATGCAGCCTTCTGGTCAGTATTGACTACTGGAAACTGAGACAAATGACAGAGGTTGAATCATTTATTAAAAGCACATCTGATTCCTTTGGAAAGTATTGCCTAATGACAATGATTAGCTAATTCAAAACGTGGCAAGGATACCTTTGGTTTAGTCACATTTGTTGCTGTTGAGTGCCTTGAAGTAATTTCCCACAACAATAGGAGACTTGGCAAGATCTATTCAAAAGAGGTTTCCCATTGCCTTCCTCTGAGGCTGAAAGAATGTGACTCCCAAGCCCCTTCTACACTGCTATATAATCCAGATTATCAACACAGATAATCCACATTATCTGCTTTAAACTGGATTATCTGAGTCTACACAGCCATGTAATCCAGTTCAAAGCAGATAATCTGGAGTTTATATGGTGTAATAGAAAAGGATTCATGACTGAGCAGGGATTTGAACCCTGGTCTCTAGAGTCAGATTAGTTTTATCTTAAAATTAGCTCTAGCATGAATAGGAACAATACCTTGTTTTAACACTATATAGGAAAATGAATTACAAAGGCCCCTTCTTCACTGCCATATAAAATCCACATTATTTGTTTTGAACTGGATTATATGGCAGTGTAGACTCAGATAATCCAGTTCAAAGCAGATAATGTGGATTATCCCCTTTGATAATTGGCTGTATAGAGGGGGCCATAGAAAGCAATGCCTGCATAGTCAAAAGCAACATAACTGTGTAAAAGACTCATAATTTTGTCATGCTCTGCCTGTGAGATTACAAGACTAATTTGACTGCTCATTATTGGAAACAGAATGTATATCTACACTGTAATATTAATGCAGTTCAGCACCACTTTAAACCAGCTTGGTTGAATGCTATGGAATCATTAGCGTTCTATGTGCTGTCGAAGGCTTTCATGGCCAGAATCATTGGGTTGCTGTGAGTTTTCTGGGCTGTATGGCCATGTTCCAGAAGCATTCCCTCCTGAGGTTTTGCCCACATCTATGGCAGGCATCCTCAGAGGTTGTGAGGTTACAGTTGTAGTTTTACAGTTGTAGTTTTACCTTCTCTGCTGGTACCTCATCAGATTGTAACTCCCTGGATCCCACAGCATTGAGTTATGAAAGTGGAATCAAACTGCATTAATTCTACAGTGTAGCTGCATTTAGAAACCTTTGCAAGGGGAAATTATCTGTGTCTGCTTTGATCCAGCCATATTTTAAATCTCAGTATGAAACACACATCCACACAGTCCTATATCCCAGAATATCAAGGCAGAAAATCCCACATTATTTGAGTGTGGACTCAGATAACCCAGTTCAAAGCAGATATTGTGGGATTTTCTGTCTTGATATTCTGGAATATAGGGCTGTGTGGAAGGGTCCACATTTGCTGCTGACAGTTTAAAATAACTATATACTAAATATATCTGATGGGAACTATTTCTTATTTCATACCACACTTGTAGGGCCCTTCCACACAGCCCCTTATCCCAGAATATCAAGGCAGAAAATCCCACATTATCTAAGTGTGGACTCAGGGCCCTTCCACATATCCTAGAATACCTGCTTTGAACTGAGTTATCTGAGTCCACACTCAAATAATGTGGGATTTTCTGCCTTGATATCCTGGGATATAGGGCTGTGTGGAAGGGCCCATAGATAACCCAGTTCAAAGCAGGTATTATGGCATTTCCTGCCTTAATATCCTGGGATAGAGGGCTGTGTGGAAGGTCCCGTAGTCAGTAACCAAAGCTGCATTTATTTCAGTGGGGTTCTTATTCAGAAGGCCACCCCTATTGTTTTCTGTGGGTTTTGCTCCCAGGTGGGGATTTAAAGTCCATTCATTGTAATACAAACTGCGCCCCCTAGAGGCTTCAGGTGACCTCTTCTGCTCATGGGCAGCCACGCCTCCCTCGTCCAGGGAGCGCGGGAGAATCTATTTGCGGGAATGGAGGGGGGAACAAAAGAAAGAGACCCCATGCCACGAAAGGGGGATTTACCTTCTACCGCCTCCCTGATATTATTGAAGACATCCTACAACATTTACCAAAACGAGGTGACAGGAAAACCCCATTAAACCAACAGGGAAGGAGAAGGAAAGTTTTTGTGACTATCCTCCCCCCCCTTCTCCGCCTTGGTCGGGATTGGTACAGCCCACGCCGTGTTCAGGCGAGCGGGGCGGGGCGCAGGACTTAGGGAGTTGTGCTGTCAAGAGACGGGCCAGTTCAGGGCCAGGCTGCTGGTGGCGCGCGGGAGTACTTGGCACGGGGCGAGCCTCCAGCACACTTTTTCCCCCTCCTCCTCAACGGGCTTTTCACTTGCTTTTCGGAGGCGCGAGGCATGGAACCCCACCGCTGGCTGCCGCTGGAGGCGAACCCTGACGTGAGAGCCGGGGAGGGGGAAGGGAAGGGAGGAGAGGAGCGAGGGGGCGTGGCTTTCCCAGCGCGAGGCGCTGGCACGTGTGCATCCCGCCTAGGCAGAGGGGGGTTTCTGTTGAAGGGACCGTGGAGTATTGGAGGAGGGGAGGGCAGGGGGGGGGGGCGATTGACAGTTGAATAAGCCAATGAAATGCCGCAGTTTGGTGTGTGCATTCAGATATGTGTTGTAGGGTCTTTCAGGGCAGAATGGCAGCAGTGTGGCCCCCACTTTTAAGTGCTGTAGAGTCCTGGAAGTTGTACAGGTGGCTAAATACCTCACAAGACTTCAAAAGTATCAAAGTAGTGTTAAGCTGTTAGAATTCTGCAGTGTGTCACTCGATGCTGTAACATTTGCCTCTTGTCTTCTTGTTTTTCAGGTCACGAACCAGGTGAACCACTTTTTCCTGTCATTACCTGTCAGCCAGATGGCAACTCCTCTTCTTTGTGAGCTTCTCTGGGTCTTTTGTTCGTAACTTTTTTGCTGTGTCAAAGAGGGGAATGTAGTTAAGGAATTAATGTATTAAAAAGGGGAATTGAGGCTTTCCAAATGTGGCCTTTGGATCACCAATAAGGAACTATATTTTTTATAACTAATGGCAAGGTACTTGGCTCCCATCAGTGCAGTGGCATCACTAGGATTGTCTGCTTGCGTGGGAACTCATGCTGTCACACTTCCATGGATCTCCTGCTATAGCAGAAAATACCATAATATTCTGGGTTACTAGGACTTTTCCAGGCTGTTCCAGAACCATTCTCTCCTGATGTGTTTCACCCACATCTATGGCAGCCATCCTCAGAGGTTGTGAGGCCTGTTAGGAACTAGACAAGTGGAGTTTATCTATCTGTGGAAGGTCCAGAGTGGGAGAAAGAACTCTTGTCTGTTTGAGGCAAGTGTGAATGCTGCAATTGGCCACTTTGATTAGCATTGAATGGCCTTGCAGCTTCAAAGCCTGGCTGCTTCCTGCCTGGGGAGGAATTCCAGACATGACACTATCAGAACCAGCTAACACCTCCTAACAAAGGATTCCCCCAGGAAGGAAGCAGCCAGACCTTGAATCTGCAAGTGGCAGTGGCACAGAACTTGCTGTCTGGAGGGTTAGAGGTTCAAATTTGCAGGACGGGGTGAATCCTGCTGTGACCCCCAACTCCTGCCAGCCTAGCAGTTTAAAAACATGCAAATGTGGGTAGATCAAAAACTTGAACAGCAAGTTAAACATGAGCCAACAATGTCATGTGGAGGCAAAAAAAGCCAATGGGATTTTGTCCTGCATCAATAGGAGCATAGTGTCTAGATCTAGGGAAGTAATGCAACCATCTATTCTGCCTTGGTTAGACCGCACCTGGAATATTGTGTCCAATTCTGGGCACCACAATTCAAGAGAAATATTGACAAGCTGCAGTGTGTCCAGAAGAGGGCAACTAAAATGATCAAGGGTCTGTGGTGGAGACTTCTTCTTTGGAAGCTTTTAAACAGAGGCTGGATGGCCATCTGTTGGGGGTGCTTTGAATGCAATATTCCTGCTTTTTGGCAGGGGTTGGACTGGATGGCCCATGAAGTCTCTTCCAACTCTATGATTCTATGATTCTACTGCTTCAGCGGGAAGGTAACGGCGCTCCATGCAGTCATGCTGGCCACATGACCTTGGAGACGTCAATGGACAACGCCGGCTCTTTGGCTTAGAAATGGAGATGAGAACCCCCCCCCCCCCCCCCCCCCCCCCCCCCCCCCCCCCGAGTCAGACTTTACTAGACTTAATGTCAAGGGGAAACTTTTACCATTACTTATCTATAGTATCAACCTTGTTGAACTTGTACATTTTTCTACTTTAACTTAGAAGTATTAACTCATCAATTTTCTAAAACTTTTTTGCTCTTAGATATACAAGTTATATAGTTTATAGACATGTATTATTTCATAATATTTTTAGATCACAAATGTGTGTGTACACATTTCGGTATGTGGTGTATCTGTTTGTTCTTTCCCTCCTTTTGTGTCCTGTCTCACTACCAAGGTATATGTTCAAGGACATTATAGCTGATGATTCAACCCACACTACACAATTATAGTACCAGGATTCCATAAGATGCAGCCACAGAAGTTAAAGAGGGATCCTAGTCCTATGTAAATGACAATGCCCAGCATTCCTGACCATTGATCATGTTGACAATGTTGGTAGTTCTTCCAAAATATGGGGGAGGAAAAGGATGTGGAAGTCTAATATTTACTGCCCTTTGGAGCTATCAGGTCGAGTGTGTTAGATTAAAGAATGCCATTGCCCTTTCTGAGATCTGTCTTTATTCTTTCTCTAATAAATCAACCTTTATATGTTAAAATGGGGTAGTTTGTGAATTTAAGTGTTCTCATCTGGAAGTTTAATTAATAAAACACTATGATCTGATTTCCCCAACCTAGTCAGATGGATGTTCTTTAATTATGGGTCAGCTTACGTTTTGCTGAAGCCCTGTTCACAAGAATTGTAGATCTTTATAAACTAATAGCATTAGTAAAGTTTTCAGATACCCATCACTTTGGATATCTGCTTTGTGTCAAACCTTATACCCTCAGTAATGTCTTATTTTTGTGACTTCATCATTTTGCCCCATACACACCTTTAACAGTTTCATCCCATTTTTCTCCTCCACATGTTCCTTGACAGTGATCATGTGATTTCTGTAAACTGTCATACCTATCAGACTTCTCACTACATCCTGGTTGGCCAGTCCTAGGTGACACAGGGAAGCGTGCTTCTGTAATTCTTAGGCAATACCTTAGTTTTGTAGTGCTGGACAGCAATTAAAAGATGATGGTTCTGATGTGGGCAGATTAATTTTGGCAACGTATGCACAAGGAATGAGGGCGAGGAGTAAGCTTTAAAAGAACAAATGGCTACATCTAGAATGCTTTGCTTGCTGATTTTTATTTCCATTAACAATGAATCTTGCCCAAAACTTCAGTGGCGGAAGCTCCTAGTTTACTTTGCAAAGTAGCCTTCCATAACCTGGTGTCTCCCAGATATTTTGAACTTCCATTATCTTTGGTCATTGACCATGTTGGGTAGGATTTATGTGAATTGTGGTACCCCAATATATGGATATCAGAATGAAGAAAGCTAAAAAATAGAACTGAGAGTCATTTCACCTTTCAGGTGTTAAACCACAACTTGCAGCATTCTTTACCATTAGCTATGCCAACTGGGGTTACTTGGAGTTGTGCTTCCATGATGTTTGGGACTCCTCCCACACAGCTGAATAAAAATCCACATTATCTACTTTGAACTGGAATACATGGCAGTATGGACTCGGATAACCCAGTTCAAAGCAGATCTTACAGGATTTTCTGCCTTGATATTCTGGGTTATGGCTGTGTGGAAGGGCCCTAGAAGATACACAATTCCCGTTCCATGTACAGAGCCATCAAGAGAGTTGCAGTCACAAATGTGGCCCCTAAATAAGCTGAGATTAAGAATTTAATTAGTACTTAAGCTTGAATGCATTAATAAGGAATAAGGGTGTTTTTTTTAAAAAAGCGTTCTTTAATCTGTTTATCTCTGTGGGTTGTGCAAGGATTAGAGAGGCATTCTCAAGGCTTTTCCAGAGAAAATGAAAGTAGCATAGAGTTGACTGTTCAGATAATTATGAAGTCATTGATTCTTTAAAGCATGCTCAAAAACCTAGTGTGTAAGCCAGGCCCGTAGCCAGGATTTTTTTTCGGGGGGAGCTGAATTTTTTTTCAGGGGGGGTTTCGGGGGGGGCTGAGTCTGAGTGAAAGAGGGTCTAGCCTAGCAAACCTTTTGTATCATTACCCCAGTACCCCATGCATATGGGATATATTGAGTATGGTGATCAGATCATGATATGAATAAACATAACAGTTTAAATAATGCACCAGTAAGGCCTTTTCGCTAACCACCATGAAAATTTCAGGGGGGGGGCTAAAGCCCCCCGAGCCCCCCCCCCCCCGGCTACATGCCTGGTGTAAGTACATTTGGTTCATGAAGAAACTTTCCTGTAAGTCTGTTAGAGAGAGTACTTTCACTTTCCAGAGAACAATTATTGTTTAGACAGAGCCATCAGTATACATTGCACATCATCTCAGTTCATAAACAAAATTATATGTTAAAAAATCTCTGCCCAAAATTAGTATTCCACTACCAGTTAGGAAATACGAGAATGTGAGGAGAGATAACCTGTGGATAACCTGACTATGAACAGACAAGGTTAATATTTACTCATGAACCTGATTATAGCTCAGGACGAGAATTAAGGACTAAGCTGAAAACTTTGTGGAAAATGTCAGTTTGTAGCAGTTACTTTCATTTATGTACTCCTGCTGTAGGCTATATTTCAGAGGAAGAACCTGGCAGAACAAGCCTCTGAAATATAGTCTTGTCTAAGAAAATGGTATAAAATTTATTAGTGTTCAGGTAACTTGAAGGCATTCCCGCCCAGCCACGCATGTTGTTCTTGGTAGTGTTAGGAAACTGCCAGCCGATGGAACTCACAGCACTATGATAATATTTGACTATGGCTTGGAAGTGGATTTGGATAAGTGAAGCGGAGTTATCATTAGTATATGGCTAGATAAATAGCCACCAGATTGACAATAGCTATTTGGATCATAAGTATACTGTTTAATTTTTATTTTAATGTTCATGGTTTTAATTGTTATTTTTGCTATTGTATTTTATGACGGCATTGAATTGTTGCCAATTGTAAGCCACCCTGAGTCCCCCTAGGGGTTGAGAAGGGCGGGGTAAAAGTGTTTGAAAGAAAATAAATAAATAAATAAATAAATAAATATGATCAGTCTTGAAGAAAGCTTTCCATTGGAATAAAGGGTAGACGTTTTCAGTCCTAATTAGATTTCCAAGACTGAGGCAGTGTCTCAGAATTGAAGATGGTTAACCTTTCACAAGGTTAGTTAACTCTCCCTACTGTTTCCATACACAGCAGTGAGGCTTACAAAAAAACACACTAGACTTCCCATTGGTACAAAAGTAAGACTTTTGGCTAAGCAACTATTATGCATGGGTCTTTTGTTATGAGGTTGTGCATCACAAAGGAAACATGAAGAAATATTTGTATTCGTCTTCCTTTATATGCCTCACAATTTTGGGTTTTAATATGATACATTGCTTAATTGTGTCTTAATATTTTAATTGTCTATATTTTTGTCTGTGTTGGCTTTTAATCATATTATATCCCAGTTTTGGAAGTAAGGTAGGATATAGGTTAAGTAGCTAAATGCATTGCATGTTGTTGCTCTTGCTTCATAGGTGCTCAATAGTGCTTGAAGCATATGTCCTGGCTCCTTTTTGTCTAATGCTTGGGTTTTGATTCTGAACATCAGAATCCAACATGCAGTTGCAAACTGCTTAGGTAGCTTTATGTAATTCATAAAGGTGGAGAAAGTAGCTCCCAGATTCATAACTGAATGTCATTATCTCCTGGCTTTCAGCCCCAGTCAAGATGCCACCTGGCAATTCCAGAAGCAGAAATGAGAGAATTCAAGAATGTGTTCTTATTTGTCAAAAGTTAGCCTAACAGTATTCCTGTTCTTCTTGGCAGGAATGTAGTATATTCCCAGATTTCAACTGAACACATTTTTATCTTGGTGAAAATGTTATTAAAAGTATGAGATGTGAAGGATGTATTTATATTGACATACATTTTTCTTTTTTAACTAGTTTCTCAAACAGCTGGGGATACAACCCAGCTGGCAATTTGTAGATGTGTATGGCATGGATCCAGAACTCCTTAGCATGGTGCCAAGGCCTGTCTGTGCTATTCTTCTTCTTTTTCCAGTTACAGAAAAGGTAAATATTTGTAACTCTATAACACAGCAATCTTCTTGTTTACAAAAACTTTATCTTGGGTTTTAGAACTTAGATACCAAAATGAGACATCAGCACGATATTTGGGATCAGAGAAGCAAGCAGTACATGTCATTTCCCTCACTTTGTTTTCTGGTGAAGATATCTTTGTTTCTTAAGCTACACTTTCCTATGATATCCAGACTGGGGAGGATTTGTTCTGCCCTCATTTGAATAGACTCAGGTGCAGCTGAAAGCCTGTAATCAGGGACCTTTGCTGTTGAAAGATACTGTGAACTTTTTATGTAGCAACCTTTGGCTGCTATTAAGTCCTTTTTACAATTTTTCCAAGTGCATATGAAATAAACAGCCTGTGTCAGGGATTTGAAATTCTGATTAAGAGTGAAATTACTTGCTTTCGTTCTGAGTGAAATTGCTATATCATCAGTGTGTTATCATACCCACTGAATCTTTCCTCCTCCCCCATTGCATAATATGTATTAATCACACATTTGTAAATAGATATGAGAAAAGTTGCTTTTACCCTCCCTCACATACTTTGATGACTGTCTTTGTGGCACATCAACAACTTGAAAAATGATTCCTTTGTGTGTAAAAATGTCCTGCCTGGTTACTTGGGGCCCTTCCACAAAGCCTTATATCCCAGAATATCAAGACAGAAAATCCCATATTATCTGAGTGTGGACTCAGATAACCCAGTTCAAAGCAGATATTGTGGGATTTTCTGCCTAGATATTCTGGGATATAGGGCTGTTTGGAAGGGCCCTTTGATACATTTCTTTCCACAGAATTGGCAACTTTGAAGCCTATATTAATGGTAGAGTCTGCTGTTATTTGATCTACACATGGTGATATTCCAGAAGTTTATTTTTATGGAGGCTTATATTGAATGGCAATATAGAAGGGTTTTTTTTTTGAAGAATTGTTTTTGTAAATCAACAACCCAGATATACCAGTGAGTTGACTGCCAGTATGGATAGAAGGCATTGCTAGCCAAAGCAAGTGTTAATATGTTCAGCCATTCTAATAAGACTGTTGTTGGTGTGTACCTTCATTTCTGACTCGGTGGCAATACTGAGGTGATTATATCAATGTTTTCTTGGAAAAAAATTGTTGAGAGGAGGTTGTCACCTTGCTCTGAATCTGAGAGAGTATGTCTTTTCCAAGGTTACCCAGTATGTTGCCATGGCTAAGTGGAATTTGAACCCTGGGCTTAAACCACTACACCACATTGCATGTGTGGTTGCTTAATCTGATAAATTTAAAACAATCTGAATTAGTAAGGTGCTGCCTTCTATTAGAATGATAGCAGATCTTTTAATATTTAAGAGTTATTTGAAGCTTGATACTCGATTCACTGCAAATGTTTGACAAGGTTATGCACCTATACAACTAGTTGTGTTTTGTTGAGGTGTTCAATAGGATCTTATCTTCCTCAAGTGGGAAGATAAAGATTAAAACCATTGATTTAAGTCTAACGTGTTGCAAGACTCCTGGCAATGCTGGACTTCCAGCAGCAGAATAATGAAATCCAGCCAAATAGAGGCGGTCTTCCCCCTGTAGCCTACCATACAGTTGGCTTTTCGCATTTTGTGGGTTTGATGTTTGATTGCACTGTGTAACAAATTTGAAAGTTTTTCTGTTCCTGGTTTGAAAGTGTTATTTCCTGTTTTAATCAGAAACATCATGTTGAATTGATTGAGACTCTGAGATATTCAGTAAAAAGTATAGCAAAAATGTGCCACAGGATGTCCTGCGAAAACAAAGTTTTTGCAGTTTAATAAACATTTTCCATGTTTTTTGTGGTGGAACCAATTAGGAAATAACATTTACAACCCAGGAACAAAAATCCTATTACATAGTGTTGTTCATGGAGTTTATTAAAGTGCTGTATCTAGGAATTTCTAGGCAGAAGTTGACCGTAGTCATGCTGGATGACCTAGAAAGTCCTAGTTTTTAATTTGTTTTAAAAATTGCGCATTTTCCATTTTCATGGGGTTCCTGTACCATTAACCTCAGTGAACGTGGAGAACTGACTATACTTCAAAAACTAGACCAAACTTTATTCCTAGACTGAATTTAATTCTGGCATGGGTTGGTTATGATTTTGAAATGATTTTTTAAAATCAAAACTTCAAAATACCTTCTTTTCTAAATTGAACCTTTTTTCTTTTTCACCTTAGTATGAAACTTTCCGAACAGAAGAGGAAAATAAAATAAAAGCTGAAGGCCAAGAAGTGAAACCAACAGTATATTTCATGAAGCAAACAATCAGTAATGCCTGTGGAACTATTGGACTGATTCATGCTATTGCAAACAATAGAGATAAAATTACCTTTGGTAAATGCTTAATTTGTATTCTTCCTTGTATTTATTTGAAGGATAGGTGGCGCTCCTGAACTGCCTACCATTCGTGACTGAAAAAAAAAACTTACAAATAAGCAACAGTTGATTGTTTTGCAATTTAAATAAGGAGTGGATGAATGATAAGTACCAAATATTGTGTGGATTACTTTAGTTAGAAAAATGCCTTCTTAATGCTGAATATGGACTGTGTAAAAGTTTCATTTGGTGTCACTTGCCTTGCAAACAGTCCATGCGAAAGAGGTTTAGGAGTCTTAGGAGACCACAAGCTGATTATGAGTCAAAGTGTAATGCAATTTGTCTACAAATGTCAATATGATTCTAGGTTGCATGAAGAGGAATATAGTGTTGAGATTGAGGGAAGTCTTAGTTTCACTCTATTCTGCTGTAATCAGACATCACCTGGAAGATTGTGCCTAGTTCTTAGCATATTGACAAGCTGGAACATGTACAGAGAAGAGCAACCAGATTGACCAAAGATATGAAAACCAAGCCTTGTGAGGAATGGCTGAGAGAGCCTTGTGAGAAATGTTTAGCTTGGAGAAGAGAAGGTTGTGAGGGAGACATGATAGCCATGTTTAAATATTTTAAAGGCTGTCACATTGAGGAGGGGACAGACTTGTTTTCTGCTGTTCTGGAGACTAGGACACAGAGCAGTGAATTCAAACTACAAAAAAGGGTTTCCACCAACATTAGTAAGAGTATCCTGAAGGTAAGAGCTATTTGAGGTCAGAATATGCTGCCTGAGGATGTGCTGGAGCCACCTTCTCTGGAGGTTTTTAAGCAAAGGCTGGATGGCCCTCTGTCAGAAGTACTTTGAATGTGTATTCCTGGGTGGTAGACAATTGGACCAGATGGCCCTTGGGGTCTCTTCCAACTCTTAAGATTCTAATACAGGTAGTTCTGTAATAACAGGCATTTAGTGTTTTAATTTTGTTCCTATTTTTATATTAGGATTAGAAGAAGGTATTGGAAAATTAGTACACCTTCCTATGTTTGAAGCTTATCATAATTTACTGTATCTCAGCACATTTTGGAACTTCTTTATGCATTGATTTATAAGAGGTAATAAAAATGTGAATAGAATAATGTAATACATTTTTAACAGTTCATATTCTTCACTGTGTTTTAGAAGCAGACTCTTCTTTGAAGAAGTTCTTAGACGATTCGGTAAACATGAATCCTGAAGAGAGGGCCAAATTCCTAGAAACCTATGAAGTTAGTATCTATTTCTTTAATTTCAGTTTATCCTCAGTGTTTCTTTTTTTACTTATAATTTAAACTTCCACGCATTTAGGCCAATTGCTGTCAACTAAGATTGTTGGGCTGATAATGTTGGGCACTCATAATACTTTTTGGGATTCAGATGTTCTTAAAGATATCAAACAGCTAAAATATAGTTGCTTTTTATTTAATTGGTAAAATGCTTGTGAAATACCAGAATGAGAACTTGACAGTGTAGTTGCTTGAGAGTGGGAAATGGTGCTGGGAGAGCAGTGTTTCAATTCCAGCTTCTCTGTCAAAACCCACTAAGTTACTTTGGATAATTCACGTTCTCTTCAACATCAGAGGCCTTATCTACACTTTTATATTATGCAGTTTCAGAATACAGTTTAACTACATTGAACAGAGTTATATGAGTCTACAGTCCCATATACTGCAGTTCAATGCAGTTAAACTGCATTCTAAAACTGCCTTATATGGCAGTGTAGATGGGGCCAGAGGACACACCTCTTCTGAATCAATCATGCCAAGGAAATCCTGTGATGGAGTCACCATAAATCAGAATCATCTTGATGGCAATTTAACAGCGACAAGACATAGAAAAATATCAAGGTCCTTTAGGATTACTGAAGTTTTTAAAAAAATCATGTTTTAACATATATGCACTACCACCCATTGTTAGAACAAGTTAGGGTTTTGTGTATGTCTGTTTTCATATTCTGTAGCACTATAATACATCAAAAGATCAAGATACATGATCACAGCCAGTATTGAGGTCATGCTTTGATAATCTGCATAGTGAAATGTGCATTTACTATTAATGTATATAAGTCACATAAAGTTGCCATTAGGCATGAACAGTGCATTCATAGGCTGACTTTTACTGTATCTGTGATGTGTTGCAGTAGAAACAAGTATCTTGATTTAGTATTTTCAGACATTTGAACTGAAAGTTTTAATCGAAAGCAAAATGTTAATAATGGACTGAAGTTTAGTAATGTAGCTTTAGGCTTGTAATATGCTTTGATTAAACCACTGCCACTTCCAGTTAAAGAACTTGTAGTAGCAGGACTTAGAGGCAGATGGTTTAATTAAGCATCTGCCAATATTGGGTTCAGTAGAATTAATTATTTGTTTGTTTTTTGTATTTCTTCGAATTGTTTTTGACTTTCAGCAACCCTAAGCTGAACCTAACACAGGGTTTTCTTGGCAATATTTGTTTAGAGGGGCTTTCCCTTTATTTGAGTCTGAGAGAGTGTGACATTCTCAAGGCCACCCAGTGGGTTTGCATGGCTTAAACCCTGGTCTTCCATGTACCAGTCCAACTTTCAATAACTATACTATACTCAAGTTCATTTTACTCCTTTATTTAAAGATTGAATTTTTAAAACAAGTTAGGTAGTAAATGACTGGATATATAATTGACAATGGCATAACATGTACAGCACAACATAAAGACTAATGTTTGTTCTTGCAATTTCAGGCTATACGTGTTACTCATGAATCCAGTGCCCATGAAGGTCAGACTGAGGTACTGAATTTTACTTTTATTAAGCGGAATTTTCAGTAGTGTTAGTTTTATACAACGTTAAATATGTTTCTGGAAAATTAGCTCCTTTGGCTTTTAAGAATTTCCATCGGACTGCTAAAAGCTCCAGAAGGACAATATTATAGAAAATGAACAAGTCTCAGTCCAGATGTATAAATTATTCTATAAGAGTTACTGGGTTAATAATTTTCCCATTAGAGATGGGAGGTACATCCTTTGGATGGATTGCTTATCCCGTTAGCTCCCAATAGGTTTGAAAGAATTTTTTGGTGTCTTCACCAAAAAGGAAGCAGCCCCTAGAAAGGCCACTCTTATTTCTTCCTCCTTATTTGTTGTGAAATGGAACCCTGGAACTTCCTGCTCTTAATCTTCTCTATCAATTTAATGTGTGCCTTGCATCTTTAAAAAACATCTATAGCCATGTTACTTTTTATGCATCAGTTGAAAGAATAGTATGAGAGCATTGTGTGTGCTAGATCAAATCTCTTTTTACTAATACCTGTTTTTTGATAAACTCATTTGTTTGTTTAATAACGGAACAGTTTAACAGCAAGAATACACACTTTGCTGTGGGTCAACATAGGTTCAGTTATATTTAATTAAATTAGGCATAAGCACAGGTTGTTTATGAATACAAACATTTTGTTGAAAAAATTCATTTAAGAACCAGAGGACAGCTTGGGTTGACAGAAGCAGTTTGTTTCTAGGTCCAGGGGTTTCTAGGTCCAGGGGATAGGAGTTTTCACTATATTAACTCATTAGGGCCCCCTGGTGGCACAGCGGGTCAATCCACCGAACTTCTGAATTTGCTGACAAAAAGTTTGATGGTTCGAATTCGGGGAGCAGATTGAACTCCCGCAGTTAGACCCAGCTTCTGCCAACCTAGCAGTTCGAAAGCAGGCAAATGTGAGTAGATCAATAGGTACCGCTTCTGCAGAAAGGTAACAACACTCCATGCAGTCATGCTGGCCACATGACCTTGGAGGTGTCTATGGACAATGCCAGCTCTTTGGCTAAGAAATGGAGATGAGCACCACCCCCCAGAGTTGGACATGATTAGACTTAATGTCAGGGAAAACCTTTACCTTTACCTTTTAACTCATTCTCATATACAACTGCAATGTTTGTAAACTTGTAAGTTATACTCTTGGCCCTTGAAGTATCTAAATATTTCTTCGTATTAATGCATTCTTATTGCATTGGATCCCAGCTTTCGTTCTCATGATAGTGGCAAGCTATGAATAGAATTTTATTTAAAGGTTAATTCTGGTTGAAGACCCCTTTTTCCTAATACTGTCTCCCCCCTTTAATCCCTATACCCACTATCAATAATTGATTGGATGAGGGCAAACAAATTGAAACTTAATCCAAACAAGACAGAGGAGCCCCTTGTCAGTTGGAAGGCAAATCAGGAAATAGGGATCCATCCTGTGCTGGATGGGGTCACACTCCCCTGAAGATACAGGTCTGCAGATTGGGGGTCCTCCTGGACCAAGCATTGACGTTTCTTCTTCCTAATTCCTGAAAAACATGTGGTAGTCTGTGTGTTGACGTACATGTTACTGTTTCAGTATGACATTGTAGCCTCTTTGAGAAATTCCCATTTTCTGCTTTATATGATAAGACTCTTGTTATCAGGTAGATAGGTTTTGAAATCCCTGTTCTGTTATAGTCAAATATTGACAGTTGTACAGTGGCATACAGTTTACTTTGTAATTTTAATAGCCTGCTAGATTATTTATGCTTCAGCATGCTAATACAAGGCTATAGAAGCAACCGGGGCCAAGAAAGTAAACCTTTCTGTCAGCATTTTCTTATTCTGATACTATTATGTTAGATAGTGGGTAGCATTTGTTTGGCCCCACCCTGTTTAACCATGGGGATCCACTTTGTAGTTGCTTTATTTGGGAAGTGTGTGTTCTAGGCTCAGAGACCTGTTCTCCAACCACAGAAGTGATTTGGATAAAATAAGTTGTTTAAAGGCCTGATTTTATCTCTTGTTCTAAGGGCACACTGGAACCATCAGTTCAGAGGCAGTTATGTTTTCCTCTAGTAGACAACTTGCTGCATCTCCTCTCACTAATGGAGCTTATCTTATATTGATGTACTAGTTTTTTGTATTGTAATTTTGGGGAGATCTGAAATTGCAGCCTGTCCAGCTCAGAACACATAAACTTCATAGAAGTAGTGGTAGAGGTATATTTGCATGTGCATTGTACTGTATTCTAGCACTAAGTTTGATAGCTGTAGCATCAAACGTTTAAGCCACTCAGAATTATTAATCTTGGTTTATGTATGACTAATGAGATTGTTTGACTGTTATTTGAAATATAAATATAGTATCTATCTATCTATCAGCATTTATATCTTGTTCTGTATCATATGACCTAAGGGTGGCATACACATGAACCTTTCATACCTTTCATCCTGAGTTTGAGAAAGATAAAGATAATATAATTAATAGACATGAAGGCTATTAGTTTAGAAGATGTGTGTGTGCAGACATGTATTTTGAGAGTGAAATAGGTATTGTACAGATTTAGTGTTAGGGATGATAGTAGATTCCCAAAAGAAACAGTGGGTACCATTTTAGTTGTGATTCTAAGAAATCAGAATTAGTGGATAATTCTGACACAATTAAAACAAAGAACAATTAAGTTGGAATTCACATAATTAAATTACATCTAAATTACAGAAGTGAAACATTGTGATCATATTTTGAAGTTACCTATTCTCTTTCTGCTTCAGCAATATAAAATGCAGTGTTTTTATTATTGGCCTAAACTGTTGTCTCCATGGGACACTGGTTGAATTCCTGAGCCTTGTTTTTCAGAGCAAAGTACACATGCTGTAAAAGTTATTTCCTGTTGAGTGTTAACCTGACAAAACCAAGTTTCATCTGGCCAAGCTTATTTTTATTATTTCTGGGTAAACAACTCCTGTATAAGGGAAATAAAACAAAGCCTTTTGCTTGCTAAGGAAAGCTGAAGTGTTAAAAAATGGAAGTTTGACATATCTTTGCCTTGGCATTTCAGTTATAAGTATTCTGAGCCTCTGGTCTGATAGGTGTCCATTTTGTAACCTCCCTGCATTCTGTCAGTGAAAACGTTCTGTCTTTGAAAAAGTGAAAATACCCAGGCATCTTCAAACTCTGGCCCTCCAGTTGTTTGGGCCTCCAACTCCCAGAATTTCTGACCATTGAACAAGCTGGCTAGGGCTTCTGGGAGTTGGAGGGCCACAGTTTGAGGACTTTCTGGACTATACAGAGAATCTCCTTTAGGGAGTTGGATGTTTCATGAACTTTGTTGCCTGGTTCAGGTGATGGTGGTTTAGGCCAGGAATGGTCAATTTCTAACCTTTCAGATAATGATGAATTGCAGTTCCCATCAATCCTAAAAGGTATAACCAGTAGTAAGACATGATGGGAGTAGCAGTCCTATGATAGCGAGAGAGCCACAAGTTGCCCAGCCTTGGTTTAGATGTTTGTGAATGGGCTGTAGATGCTTTGCATTATAGTGTCTTATTAATTTTCCCCCAGACAGTTAAAACAAAATATGATCCAACATTGGTTTGTTTTCCTTTTTAAATCCGTTTTGAATAGAAGATCCCCTGGACTTGACCAAAGTGTGCAGGCAACTTGCAACTAACCTATGCATATTTAAATGGAAAATCTGTTGTTTTTCAATAGCACCGAGTCCTTCGGGAGATGTTAGCGGGGTACAAATAATAAATAAATAATAAATAATAATACAACAATCAGCAAAGCCACCTAGGCCCAAGGCGGACAAAGTATTGCTCTCCAAGCACCATTGGACAGCAATTCCCAGAATGGTTTTGCTGATCCTTGGCTAGACTGGTTAGGATTGATGTGAGTTGCAGTCTATTAACAATTCCACACCTATTCTGGTTTAGGACGATCATCAATAAATTTTCCCAAGACTATATATAGTGTCGGACAATAAGCATTTGAAATCGTTCCCTCCCAGTTTGTTTTCCTTTTTGCTATACATCATTTTGAGAGATGTTACTGTAAAGTATATAGTTGTGTTACTTTAAGTAAAGTGACCCTACCATGGATCTTTTGGGGCTGGGAATATGTGACTTGCCCAAGGTGGCCCACTGGGCTTCCATGGCTAAGCAAGGAATCAAACTCTGGTCATAATCCAAGGCATGTGTGGGTAAAAAAGAGCATTTTATGACTTAAAAGCAATATTTGTGACTTAAAGAAAAACACTTTGATGCAATAGTAACATAGCACCACTTGCCTTCTCTACAGAGAACATAACAGTTTAAGCATGCAAGCCCTTTCAGTGTATCACTTTGTGTGACATACACTACTTTGAACAATTGATCTTTTGAAGGTTATTTACCTAAACAAAACCTGAGCAAATATATGCCCAGATTGCAACCCTGGTTGTAACGTAACAGAAGAGTTAGAAAGATGCTGGAACTTTTTGTAGGATTAGTACACAAAGACTGAAAATGCATTTGGTGGTAGTTTGGATAGATCCTGACATTACTAAAATACTGTTTTTGATCTAGTCCATCTGTTCTATTCATTAAATAGCACCAATACACCTTTAGACGTAAGGTCTTGTAGATATCTTCAACAAAATGACTACCCATTGGGATTTAAATATATATATATGAGTGAAAATATAGCCCCATGTAAAGTTTGTCTTCTTTTAATATTTATATAGTCTTCATCATCCCTGCTGCCCTCGCCATCCTCACCACAACTTCAGTACTTTAGCCACTGCAAAATGAAGGCTTCATCTTTGCGTCGCTCTGCATCCTTGACACTGATCAGATGTGATCATGTAGCCCCTGTAAAGGCTACAAGCCCACCTGTCTGCCTTCAGCGTTGGAGGCCCACAATACCTTTATCAGCTATTGGGCTCCACTGTGTTGTAAGTGTAGTCTCTCTTCCGTTTCTTCTCTGCGGAAAGACTTTTGCCTCAGCATTTCAGCTTAGAACTGCTTCTGTTCTCTGAATTCTATTCTGGACTTTTCTTGGTGTAGGATGCTCTCAACCGCGAGGCTTTGCTGTCTTAAATCCTCAAAAAAAGCTCTCCCAAATGAATATCAACACCAAAGATGAGGAAAATTATTACTTCTTCAATATTTTTATCCTATCTATTACCTGGTTGCTTTTGCCTTATTGGTGTTTCAGTGGGACTTGCAAAACTTCTCATTCTGTGCCAAATCCTCTTCCTTCGCATCTGATTTAAACAAAATTTCATCAGTCATTTTGCTTTATTGAAAGCAAATACTCTGAGTGATTTTGATTCTTATCTTCAACAATGATATTGCTTAAATGTGCTATTTTCGTGGCAACTTTATTCTTTGAATTTGAGTGCATACAGTACTTCTCTTGGTTAATGGTAGAAAGTGTAAATTCCTTTATTCATTACTCTTGCACCTTGTTTTGTCTTCTTTTGAAAGTGTTTTATTTGCTCTAATGAAAGAACACTTTCCTGCAATGTAACAGCTTTCACAACAGGTACCTACGTTTTTCTGCACCCTGCATACTTATTATATATGCAGCTATTGTTTCTATTCATTGTTCTGCAAAAAGAATTGCAGCAGTAATCTCTGTTAACTTTGCTTAACATATGTAAAAACTTTGCCTAAACCCATTTTCTAGTTAAACTAGAGCAGATCCACTCAATAAGTAGAATTATAAAGACCACGGTCATCATCATCATTCCATCTTTCTTCCAAATCTGGTTTCATAATGGCATCCCTCCGTTCATCTGGAGAGGCCCTGTTCACGATCCCACCTGCGTTGCAATTGCATTTGGTGGGGACGAGGGACAGGGCCTTCTCTGTGGTAGCCCCCAACTCTGGAACTCTCTCCCCAAGGACATCAGACAAGCCCCAACGTTGGCAGTCTTTAGGAAGAGCTTGAAGACCTGGCTGTTCCAGTGTGCCTTTCCAGAATAGGAAACTCCCAGCATCATGTCCCAAACGCACTTTACAGAGATTTAAGATTGCCTGCACATCGCACCTACCCTAAAATCCTTACATTTCACCTGTCATGTCCAGCACTTTTAATTTTATTCATTACATTTGGCCCGGCCCTAGTTTTAAATGTGTCATGATGTATTGTTTTAATGTTTTACTGTTATTGCTTTAATGTTTATTGGTTTGCTTTATGAGTTTTATTGTTGTATTTGTTATGCTGTTGTTTTATTGAGGGCCTTGGCCTTTGTAAGCCGCACCGAGTCCTTCGGGAGATGTTAGCGGGGTACAAATAATAAATAAATAATAAATAATAATACAACAATTAAATAGTAATAAATCCACATACAAGACTTACAGTAAAATATCACCATGGTTAAAGTGCAGTGAAACAGGCATAAGGTTAAAATTAGTAAAATATAAATTGAAAGACAAAAGATAAAAAAGAGAGAGCACAGAACCCTTGCAGTCAGTTCCCCAAAGCCTCGCAGAACAAAAAACATTTCACGTTGAGTTACAATTGTTGACTTGCTGCACAACAGTTGATTCAGTAAGTGAACTCTAGTTCTGATTTTTGCATTTGGCTGCACTTCTACAAGAAAAAGAAAAGAAATCCTGATTGCAGGAAGGACTACGTTTCAGGAAAGCAATGACAAAATTTAAGGCAAAAAATTGAGACATAGATATGTCACTATTTGATTCAAATAACGTTTGTTTTGCAATTCCATCTGAAGCTAAAATATTTGCACAAATTAATAATTTTGGGTTGTGGGGGAGCAAAAATATAACAGAACAGACATAGGAATGTAGAGTTTTGGAAGGGATACCTTTTGAATTTTAAAAAATGGCAGTAGAAAGGTTATTACTTCAACCGGGTCTGAATGTTTTTATGGTCTTGCTACAAGTAGTTTGTTTAAAGTAATCTTTGCCCATATGTAAAGTAACTTTTGTAGTTGGTAGTTGACATAACTAGCTATTTTATGTTTGCACTCCTTTGTAGCATAGTTTACTTGTGGTTATCTTAAGTAAGGCTAATATTGGATTGGAGATGCCTGATAAACAGCATTTTAGGCAAGAATGATGCCTGGAGGAAAAATAATAGTTAGGTTGGATAAATGTTTAAGGTCTTTGAAGACAAAAAACAAAAATACTAGTACCAAAAGCTGTCCATCTGTCACAAATTGCTCAAGGCTTTTAGACCAATTTAGTGCTCTTATGGTTGAAAGATGAATATAAATATATATAGACTGTAACATGAATTTGAACTGGGTTGCAAGGTTCCCTACAAAGCCCTGTGAGATTTGGAGCGTGTCTCCCCATCCCATCCCACTCTTTAATTCTTAGGATTTCTGCTTCTCTTGAAGTATATCATCGCAATAATATGCTTCTCTCTGTTTCCAGTTTTTTCTTTAGAGTGAGCTTTTGTTTGAGATTTATTAATGCTTTAGCATAAGAAAGTGTATGTAGTCAAACAGTTTGCCAGTTAATATTCAAGACAAGGTGATGTGTACTTTCCCCTCATTGAGCCATTTGAATTTTGATGTGCATTCTCCCAAACTTTAATTTTCTAAACTTCTCCCTTTCCCACTTAAGTCATTTTAGGGGTAGGGTTAGATAGGATCACATGCATCGTAAGGCTTCTTCTTATAGGGAAAATATTTAGCCTTCTGATATTTTTAAATATTTTCTCCATTGCAAGTTTCATGCTTTACCAAGGAGCTTTGTACCAGATAATGCCTGGACACCTGTAGCAAGATATGTTCCAGATCGTTAGCAATTTAGTAGCATCTTGTTGACATAATAGTTGATTTTTGAATGCTAAGTTTTTGTTTTTGGACAATGAGATTTATCACCTTATACCTGTGAATGTGAGATGCCTCTTGCTGAGTCATAAGAGGTTAAAAACCTTAGGAGTGGATCCCGAGTAGCTCTAAGAGCTATTGCCATGAACACCAATATGTGTTAGTCTTCATTAAACCGCTACTTAGGGAAACAATTGTATACAAGTATTGGTATCATCCATTACAAGCTTGTTTTAGTTAACTTTTTGACATAGTCCTTCTGCATTTGAAGTTCTTTTGTTTCTGAAGAGCTGTCCTTCATGGTACATTGTATGATTTCATTTTTTGTGTTTTAAAACATATTTTTATTAGTATTTTGTAACCTTAAACTTAGACATATGCTGGTTTCTATTAGGAAAGGACATCTCTGACATGAGGTTCTGAATCTGTTTGTAAGTTTAAAGGCTAAGTCCTTTCATGTCCAGTAGACATGCTCTCAGGTAAGTATATCTGTTTGGTGTTATACTTTGTCAGCTATATCATCTGGAAATCCCAACTCTTATCCCAGAATTGTGTTACTCTGGAGGAACAGTGAAGAATACACGAACCTTCACATGGCCAGACATGTGCTGTTGAGGCTGAGTTCCAGCTCAGGTTACTTTCCCCTCAAATTGTGAAAACAGCATCAAATGTCTGCTAATATCTTACACATGTGTCACATTCCTTCCTACAGGCACCAAGTATAGATGAGAAAGTAGATCTGCACTTCATTGCATTAGTTAATGTTGGTGGCATTCTCTATGAGCTAGGTAAGAGCAATCTTCCTTGAAAGATAGAGTCAATTGTCTACAACTCAATCTGCTTATTATTATTTTTTAAAAAATAGTCATATGTGTGTGTAGAAGTAGCATTATAAAGACATTAAGAACTTACCTGTTTTAACGGCAACCCTTTAATATACTAATCATATTCTTCATTCAGAAACAATAGCATAGAATACAAAAATATTGGTACCCTAGATTTTCTTATTAGAAGGAGTCATGAAGCTGACAAGCAAGGTTCAGTATTAAATTCAAAATTTTGTTGTCAAAGGCTTTCATGGCCAGAATCACTGGGTTGCTGTGAGTTTTCCGGGCTGTATGGCCATGCCCCAGAAGCATTCTCCCCTGACGTTTTGCCCGCATCTCTGGCAGGCATCCTCAGAGGTTGTGAAGTCTGTTGGAAAACTAGGCAAGTGAGGTTTATATATCTGTGGAATGTCCAGAGTGGGAGAAAGAACTTGAGGCAAGTTTGAATGTTGTAATTGGCCACCGTGATCAGCATTTAATGGCCTTGCAACTTCAAAGCCTGGCTGCTTCCTGCCTGGAGGATCCCTTGTTGGGAGATGTTAGCTGACCCTGATTGCTTCATGTCTGGAATTGCCCTGTTTTTGAATATTATTCTTTCTTTACTGGCTAGATTTTAGAGTTTTTAAAATACCGGTAGCCAGATTTTGTTCATTTCCATGGTTTCCTCCTTTCTGTTGAAATTGTCCACATTTGTGGATTTCAATGGCTTCTCTGTGTAGCCTGACATGGTGGTTGTTAGAGTGGTCCAGCATTTCTGTGTTCTCAAATAATATGCTGTGTCTAGGTTGGTTCATCAAGTGCTCTGATATGGCTGACTTCTCTGGTTGAGTAAATAAAGAACAACACTCAGAAAACTGGGAAATTCCAGACATGGAACAATCAGGGCCAGCTAACACATCCCAGCAAAGGATTCCCCCAGGCAGGAAGCAGCCAGGCTTTGAAACTGCAAGACCATTAAATGCTAATCAAGGTGGCCAATTGCCACATTCACACATGTCTCAAGCAGGCATGAGTTCTTTCTCCCATCCTGGACATTCCACATATATATAAACCCCACTTGCCTAGTTTCTAACAGACCTCACATCTTCTGAGGCTGCCTGCCATAAATGTGGGTGAAACGTCAGGAGAGAATGCTTATGAAATATGGCCATACAGCCCGGAAAACTCACCCAACCCAATTCAAGATTTGTTTCTTCTTTTTGCATGCATTTCCTCCTCTCTTGCATTGTCTGCAACAAATTCATGGATTGTTTGGAGTCTGGCATGTGGGATACTATTTCTCATGTTCTGGTTTATCCCTTAAACGACATTGGAGGCATTGATCAGGGATTACCAGGATTCAGTGCATTCTTTTTGGGAAAATGGTGAATTGTCCCCTACTGATATGTATACCTACTAAATTTCTTTAAATAGGATGAAATTATAATACAATTGACTACTGCTACAGCAAAATACGTACTATCAACTGATATAGAAACAAGTTACCACTTTTAATGTTCAGATAAGTAGTCCTGAAGAGTGTAGTCTCAATAGTTCACTTTTAAGTGTCAATTTTCAAATATTCTGGAAATTAGCTCACTCTGTACACTGAAAACCCTCCCAGGTAATCTTGCTTTTGGATCCTGGAAAATTTTG